TTACTAAGTCAGTCAGTCAGTCAATCAGTTACTAAGTTAATCAATCAGTCACTAAGTCACTTCGTTATTAATTCAAACGTCTAAAAATTACAAAAACGAAAAATTGTAAAATAAAAATTTACAAATATCGAAAAACTGAAAAATCAGAAAAATAGAAAATGTAAAATTTAACATTGAAAAACTGTAAAATTGCACAATTAAAAAATAAAAAAAATGAAGAAATGAAAAATCGTAAAAGTGACAAAGGAGAAACTAGAAAGTGAAAAAGTGTCTAAAAATTATAAAAAGAACAATTACATAATAAAAATTAAGAACCTAAGAAACCGAAAAATAGAAAACTTAAATTTCGACAAACTGTAAAATTAAATATCTGATAATTGAAAACCCCAAACAATTTCAAAAATCGCAAAATTAAAAAAACAAATTAAAAAATCGATTCTTCAACTTTTTTAGTTTTCATTTTGAATGTGCCATAATAATTATAATTTTTCAATTTCTCGAAGACCCAGAGACGAAGAAAAGAGAGGGTGGGTGGGCGGGGCTAGTACCTGCTAAAATAAGAATGATTTTGGCAAAAATGACGTATCCTTTAAGAAATTTAGTTAAATTATTATAAGAAAAGGCACTAGAGGCTCCAAAGCACTTTCAAATTCTTTCCAAACAGGAATACCTAGAAAATAGTTGAAAAATGGTCCAAAAATGTTAAAAGTGCCAAAATCAGTTTTATCTTAACAATTGCTAGCCCCGCCCACCCACCCTCTATTTTCTTGGAAGTTATGTGATTTGCCAAAATTAGTCTTATCTTATCAAGTACTAGCCCCACCCACCCCCCTTTTCTCATTCTAACGACCAATTTTATTTCTGTTCAGTATAAGATTATTCAATCAGCGCCTATCGTAACTTTTTTTGTTATACTATTTACTATAAAATTTGTTTCTTATTTCATGCACTTGACTTGATTTGACTTGACTTGACTTGACCTAATGTGACCTGACCTGTTCTGACTTCTCTATGATCTCAAATAAGCAAATTTTAAACATTTCTGTTAATCTACAAGAAAATATCTCCATCTACTTTTCGAAAATGGTTAAAAAATGGTTGAAAATCTCAAAGATAAGACTGGATCACTAAAACAATCTGCCAAGAGGTCACTTAGTCACTAAGTCATTGGTCAGTCAGTAACTTCGTTAATGATTCACTAAACTTCTCTCATTAATGATTTAAGTCACTGAGACACTAAATCGCTAAGTCACTTCCTAACGGGATAATTAAGTCACTACATCACTCATTCACTAAGTCACTGATGGTCTTGTCACTAAATCAATTAGTCTGGAAGTCACTTAGTCGCTAAGGCACTAAGTCAATCAGTCAGTCACTGAGTTACTAAGTCAGTCAGTCAGTCAATCAGTTACCAAGTCAATCAGTCACTAAGTCACTTCGTTATTAATTTAAACGTTTAAAAGTTACAAAAACGAAAAATTGTAAAATAAAAATTAACAAACTTTGAAAAACCGAAAAATGTAAAATTAAGAACCGAAAAACTGCAAAATTGCACCATTAAAAAATCAAAAAAATGAAGAAAAGAAAAATCGTAAAATTGACAAAGGAGCAGCTAAAAAGTGAAAAAGTATGTAAAAATTATAAAAAGAACAATTACAAAATAAAAATTGAGAACCTAAAAAATCGAAAAATAGACAACTTAAATTTCGACAAACTGTAAAATTAAAAATCTGATAATTGAAAAACACAAACAATTTCAAAAATCGCAAAATTAAAAAAACAAATTAAAAAATCGATTTTTCAACTTTTTTAGTTTTCATTTTAAATGTGTCATAATAATTATAATTTTGAAAATGTTCACTTTTCAATTTTAGAATTTTTCAGTCTTTAATTTTTCAATTTCTAGAAGACCCAAAGACGAAAAAAAGAGAGTTAGGTGGGCGGGGTTAGTACCTGCTAAGATAAAACTGATTTTGGCAAATGATATACCCTCTAAAAATGTAGAGGGCGGGTGGACGGGGTTAGTATTTGCCAAAATAAGATCGACTTTGACAAATCACATACTCCCTAAGAAAAGAGAGGGTGGGTGGGCGGGGCTAGTACCTGTTAAAATAAGAGTGATTTTGGCAAATGACTTATCCGTTAAGAACTTTAATTCAGTTATTATAAGAAAAGATACTAGAGGCTCCAAAGCATTTTCAAATTCTTTCCAAACAGGAATACCTAGAAAATAGTTGAAAAATGGTCCAAAAATGTTGAAAGTGTTCAAATCAGTTTTATCTTATCAAAACTAGCCCCGCCCACCCACCCTCTATTTTCTTGTAGGATATGTCATTTGCCAAAATCAGTCTTATCTTAGCAAATATTAGCCCCACCCACCCACCCCCTCTTCTCATTCTAACGACTAATTTTATTTCTGTTCAATATAAGATCATTGCACCGATTCAGAGTGGATAAAACCAATCGCCGAAATGGAAACCGGGTGGGTGGGCGGGGCTAATTATTTTCTGTTGTGTAGGAGTGGAAAAAGGATATGAAAAAGTGCCAAAATCAGTCTTATCTCATCAAATAGTAGCCCCACCCACCCACCCTCTATTTTCTTGGAAGCTATGTGATTTGCCAAAATCAGTCTTATCTTAATAAGTACTAGCCCCACCCACCCCCCTCTTCTCATTCTAACGACTAATTTTTTTTCTGTTCAATATAAGATCATTGCACCGATTCAGAGCGGATAAAACCAATCACCGAAATGGAAACCGGGTGTGTGGGCGGGGCTAATTATTTTCCGTTGTGTAGGAGTGGAAAAAGGATATGAAAAAGTGCCAAAATCAGTCTTATCTTATCAAATAGTAGCCCCGCCCACCCACCCTCTATTTTCTTGGAAGCTATGTGATTTGCCAAAATCAGTCTTATCTTAATAAGTACTAGCCCCACCCACCCCCCTCTTCTCATTCTAACGACTCATTTTTTTTTTGTTCAGTTTAAGATCATTAATTTCATTCAGACTAGATAAAACTAAAACTGTCACTAAAATAGACACAGGGTAAGAGGGCGGGGCTAGTTATGTTCTTCTGTTATGTAGGAGTGGAAAAAGGATGTGAAAAAGTAAAAAGAAAAGCGCCAATCGTATTTTTTTGGTTATACTATTTACTATAAAATTTATTTCATATTTCACGTACCTAACGTGACCTAACCTGTCCTGATTTTTCTATTATCTCAAATAAACAAATTTTAAACATTACTGTGAATCTACAAGAAAATGTCTTCAAAAGTTTTATCTTATCAAATATTAGCCCCGCCCACCCACCCTTTATTTTCTTGGAAGGTATGTGATTTGCCAATATCAGTCTTATCTTAGCAAATACTAGCCCCCACCCTCTTCCCATTCTAACGACTAATTTTATTTCTGTTCAGTATAAGATCACTCAATCAGCGCCAATAGTAACTTTTTTTGTTATACTATTTGCTATAAAATTTATTTCTTATTTCATGTACTTGACTTGACTTGACTTGACTTGACCTAACGTGACCTGACATGTTCTGAGTTCTCCATTATCTCAAATAAACAAATTTTAAACATTTCTGTGAATTTTCGGAAATAGTTAAAAAATGGTCGAAAATCTCAAAGATAAGACTGATTTTAGCAAATCACATACCTTCCAAGAAAATAGCGGGTGGGTGGGCGGGGCTAGTACTTGCTAAGATAAAACTGATTTTGGCAGATGACATACCTTCCAAGAAAAGAGAGGGTGGGTGGGTGGGACCATGTACCTGCTACGACTGATTTGACAGATTTTCTAACCTTGCAACAAAACAACTGACCCTAACATGACAAATTTCATTTTTCATTAGGGATCTTTGCATTTACCAAATTGGTTTCCAACCAAATTACTAAATTTCCATGGCCCACCTTCGCCTAAAACAATCCCGAGCCGTATAAGTACAACATATACAAAACCTAAAGCAGATTTTTTCCAACTTCGAGACGCTATTCCGTGATCAAAGCCCACCCGAGCAGATAGCGCTTCCCATCCCCGCTCCCTAAATAAAAAATAATGTTTATTCTCCAGCGCGGCTCCTCGGAAAAAACCCGCATTCCGCGAATTTCTCGTCCTTAAGCAGGACGTATGTTCTTTGCGGGCCGTAATCAAATAGAATCAGAATTGACGGGAATGCGGTCGTCCCGGGGACTCCGGAGTGACCTTTAAACTTTTCCGCGGCCCGACTTGTTCGAGTTTGTGGACGTAAGGTCAGGGCGTAACTCCGAAAATGCAATAATCGGCCTTTTCGTGCGACTCACGGGTTTATTGTGATCGGATTTGTCACTCGATATCCTTGAAAGGAGTCCTGGAGGATTTAATGGCGGGGCCGGGCGCAAAAAGAGGACGATGTAAGGGGAGACCTGAGGGGGTGAGGTGGCGACGCGACGATAAATTATAAAATGGCGAACAAGTCGGACATTGAAAAGTTCAAGAGGGTCAGATTACTAAAGAGAGCAGTTTTTGGCTTGACATTCGTGAAAATTTCGCAAACACGACTAACTACCGCCATGCGGACCCGGAATGACCACCGGAGCGTAAAAACAAGCGTCGTCGCAATGATAAATTACAGCATGCTAGTGAAGTCACACTTAACGTCATTGTGCTTCGGCTAATTCAGTTGAAGGATGGAGATTAGCATAAAGACACGGCTTCTTTCCGATTCGTCCCTTATGATTAATGACCCGGAGGCAGTTTTTGCCCGCTCCGGGTGCTTGTTAACGTTTCTCGTGGATTTTAATTAATTAAAGGAGATTTATAACCGGAACAAGAAGACTCGGGCGGCAGCTTTGCGCAACGAGAGCTTTGTCTTTGTCTTTGTCTTTGTAGTCTTGAAGAGCGCCAGGAAATAACGACCTCGACGTCCCTCTGAAATTACATCCATCGTGGCCTAATCCCGTTGACGTTTCATTTTGGTGTATTGTTGGTTGCATACTTATGTTTGTATTTTTTTTTGTGCAGAGCTCTTGCGTACGCCCGCCACTCCCTCTACAACGAATGCGAGCAGTGCACCACCGCCGGCCACGTGCACCTCACCGTGGGGTCGGTCTACCTGGAGCTGGCCGGCTTCAACAAGGCTCTGGATAGTTTTCAGCACGCTCATCGCATAGCGCAGGCTATTCACGACCCGGCGCTGGAGCTCCAGGTGTACGTGGGGCTGTCGGAGCTGTTCAGCCGGCTGCAGGACGCCGATAAGAGTGCGAAGTACGCCTCCAAGGCCTACGATTTGTCGAGGTCGCTGCAGCTGGGGGACCTGAATTCGCGCCACCACCGGGCCGCCCTGCTGCAGATGGCGTCCGCGCTGCGCAAGCAGGGCGAGCTGGGGGACGCGCACGACTACTGTTCGGTAAGAGACGCCGCTAAAGTACTTGATTATACAAGCTACGTCTTTGTATTTTTGTAATTAGAAATATTTTGTCAAATTTGGTTCTTTAAATTCGGGATTTTTTCAGCCAGCAGAATCTAAAAATGCAAATTTAAATTGGTGAGGTTCTAGGATGCTGGAGAATTTAATTTCCAAAACTAGTGGTTTATAAATCCGCGTTGAATTTTTATTTTCTCGATTTTTGGAAAAAAATTCAAAATTGTAGTAACAATTTTTCGGTTTCTCAGTTTTTCGAATTTTCTTTCGACTTACCGATTTTTCGGTTTCTCGACTTTTTGACTTTCGATTTCAGAGTTTTTCCTATTTGAGTTTTGGAATTTTTTGGTTTTGGATTATTCAGTTTTTAGATCTTTAAATTTTTGGATACTATTTCAGTTTTGGGATTTTTCAAATTTTCGACTCTTTAATTACTTGATTATTCAAATTTTCGATTTCTCATTTTTTTTAATTTTCGATTTCTTGATTTTTCAACTTTTCGATATTTTAATTCTTTTATTCTCCCATTCCGCGATTTCTGGATGTTCCGGTTTTGCAATTTATAAATTCTCCAATTTTTCGTTTTTTCGTCTTTTCGATTTGCCGATCTTTCAATTTTGCGATGATTTAGTTTAAGGATGTTTAAACTTTTCGATTTTTCAAATTTTCGGTTCTTCGATTTATCAATTTTTCGATTTTTTAAAGTTTCAATGTTTTGATTTCTCCTTTTTCCGGTTTTTCATTTCTCAATTTTTCAAATGTTCGATTTCTCAATTTTTTAAATTTTCAATTTCTCAATTCTACATTTTTTCGATATTTCGATTTTTTGATTCTTCCATTTCGTAATTTCTCGATTTTTCCGGTTTTTCAATTTTTCAGTTCTTCATTTTTCGTTTTTTCGGGGTTTGTTTCTTAATTTTTCAGTTTTTTAAATATTCAACTTTTCGGTTTTTCATATTTTTGATTTGCTGAGGTTTCAATTTTTCGATGATTCAGTTTAGGGATTTTTCAGTTTTTCGATTTTTCAATTTTTCTTCGATTTTACCATTTTTCGACTTTTCAGTTTTTCGATTTGCCAATTTTTCGATATTTTACTTTAAGGATTTTTCAACTGTTCGATTTTTAAAATTTTTGACGTTTTAATTTTTCGATTACTCGATTTTTCAACTTTTCGATATTTCGATTTTTTTAATTTGCCATTATTTCGGGATTTCTCGATTTTTCAAGTTTTTGATTTTTGAATTTTTCGATTTTTCAAATGTTGGAGTTTTCGGCTTTTCGTCTTTTCGATTTCCTATTTTTTTATTTTTGGATTTTCAGTTTTGGGAATTTTTAATTTGTCAGTTTTTCGATATTTCGGTTTTAGGATTTTTCTTTTTTTCGATATTTCATTTTTTGATTTTTCCATTTGGCGATTTCTTGATTTACCGATTTTTCAATTTTTCAATTTTCCGGGTTTTTGATTTTACAATTTTTCTATTTTTGGACTTTTCACTTTTTCGTCATTTCGATTTCTCGATTTTTCAATTTTTCGACTTTTCAATTTTCCTTTGACTTTTCAATTTTTGGATTTTTTGGTTTTTCGATTATCAATCTTACGTTATTTCAATTTTAGGATTTTTTAATTTCTCGATTTTTTCAAATTTTCGATTTAACTTAATTTTTTTAATTTTCGATTTCTCGATTTTTCAGCTTTTCGATATTTCAGTTTTATAATTTTTTGATTTTTCGCGTTCTTGGTTTTACAATTTTTCAATTTCTGGATATTTTGGTTTTAGAATTTTTTAATTTTCGGTTTTTTAAATTTTCGATGTTTTAAATTCTCGATTCCCGATTTTTCAATTTCTCGATTTATTAAATTTTCAATTTCTCAATTTTTTTAATTTTCGATTTCTCGGTTTTTCAACTTTTAGATATTTCGCTTTTTTTTTCTGATTCGCAGATTTCTGATTTTTCAAACTTTCGAGTTTTCGGTTTTTCGTCTTTTCGATTTCCCGATTTTTCAATTTTTTGATTTTTCAATTTTCCTTCGACTCTTCAATTTTTCGATTTTTAGGTTTTTCAACATTTCAAACTTCCCATTTCTCGATTTTTCAACTTTTCGCTATTTCGATTTTTGAGTTTTCCATTTCGAGGTTTCTCGATTTTCCGATTTGTCAATTTTTGAATTTTCGATTTGTCGACTTTTCAGTTTTTCGTCTTTTCGATTTCTCGATTTTTCAATTTTTTGACGATTCAGTTTTGGGAATTTTTCAGCTTTCCTTCGATTTATCAATTGTTCAATATTTCAGTTTTAGGATTTTTAATTTTTCGCTTTTTTAAATTTCCGATATTTTGTTTTTTCGATTTTTCGATTTATTAAATTTTAAGTTTTTCCACATAAAATTTTTCAATTTTTCGATATCTCAAAGATTCTACTTCTTGATTTTTTGATTTGTCAGTTCTTCGATTTTCGATTTTCCAATTTTTCCAAATTTTAGATTTTTCATGTTCCGATTTCTCGATCTTTCGATTTTGCGACTTCTCGATTTTCCAGTTTTTCAATTTTTCAATTCTTCAATTTTTCGATTTTCCAATTTTTCAGGTTTTTCGATTTATCAGTTTTTTGATGTATCAGTTCAAGGGTTTTTCAGTTTTTCGACTTTTTAAATTTTCGATGTTTTGATTTCTCCTTTTTCCGGTTCTTCATTTCTCAATTTTTCAGATGTTCGATTTCTCAATTTTTGTAATTTTCAATTTCTCAACTTTCCATCTTTTCGATATTTCGATTTTTTTATTTTACAATTTCGTGATTTCTCGATTTTCCGGTTTTTCAATTGTTCAGTTCTCCAATTTTTGTTGTTTCGGGGTTTGTTTTTTAATTTTTCAGTTTTTTAAATATTCAACTTTTCGGTTTTTCATCTTTTCGATTTGCTGAGGTTTCAATTTTTCGATTATTCAGTTTAGGGATGTTTCAGTTTTTCGATTTATCAATTTTTCGATATTTTACTTTTAGGATTTTTCAATTGTTCGATTTTTAAAACTTTTGACAATTTAATTTTTCGATTTTTTAATTTTCCGATTTTTCAGGTTTTTGATTTTTGAATTTTTCGATTTTTTAAATGTTGGGGTTTTCGGTTTTTCGTCTTTTCGATTTTCTAATTTTTTATTTTTGGATTTTCAGTTTTGGGAATTTTTAATTTGTCTGTTTTTCGATATTTCGGTTGCAGGATTTTTCTTTTTTTCAATATTTCATTTTTTGATTTTTCCGATTTGTCAGTTTATCAATTTTTCCATTTTCCGGGTTTTTGATTTTACAATTTTTCTATTTTTCGATTTTTCAATTTTTCGTCTTTTCAATTTCTCGATTTTTCAGTTTTTCGACTTTTCAATTTTCCTTTTACTTGTCAATTTTTGGATTTTTTGGTTTTTCGATTTATCAATCTTACGTTATTTCAATTTTAGGGTTTTTTGTTTTTTCCATTTTTTAATTTCTCGATTTTTTCAAATTTTTGACTTCACTTAATTTTTTTAATTTTCGATTTTTCGATTTTTCAGCTTTTCGATATTTCGATTTTTTGATTTTTCCATTTGGCGATTTCTCGATTTCCGATTTGTCAGTTTTTAATTTTTTGATTTTTCGCGTTTTAGGTTTTACAATTTTTTAATTTTTAAAACTTTCGGTTTTTCAAATTTTCAATTTTTCGTCTTTTCGATTTTTCAGTTTTTCGATATTTCAGATTTGGGATTTTTCGGTTTTTCAATTTCCCTTCGATTTATCAATTTTTCGATTGATTAATTTTTTCAATATTTCAGTTTTAGGATTTTTCATTTTCTCCATTTTTTAAAATTCCGATATTTTGATTTCTCGATTTTTCAACTTTTCGAAATTTCGATTTTTTGAGTTTTCCATTTCGCGGTTTCTCGATTTGCCGATTTGTCGACTATTCATTTTTTCGTCTTTTCGATTTCTCGATTTTTCAATTTTTTGAGGATTCAGTTTTAGAATTTTTCCATTTTCCGATTTTTCAGTTTTCCTTCGATTTATCAATTGTTCAATATTTCAATTTTAGGATTTTCAGTTTTTCGATATTTTAAATTTTCGATGTTTTGTTTTCTCGATTTTTCGATTTTTTAAATTTTCCAATTTTCAATTTCTCGATTTTTGGTGTTTTCAATTCTTCGGTTTTTAATTGCACAGTTTTTCCAAATTTTAGATATTTCATGTTCCGATTTCTCGATCTTTGGATTTTACAACTTCTGGATTTTTCAGTTTTTCGATTTTTAAAATTTTTGATTTTCTAATTTTTCGATTTTTTAAATTTCCCATGTTTTGATTTTTCGATTTCTCGATTTTTTAAAGTTTCCATTTTTAAATTTTAGATTTTTCCGTTTTCAATTTTTCAATTTTCCAAGTTGAATTTTTGGATTTTTCAGTTCTTTGATTTTTCTATTTTTCAATTAATTGTTCGAATTTTTAATTAATTTTTTACTCAATTTTTTGACCTTTCGCGTTTTTGACATTTTCCAGTTTTTCAACTTCGAAATGTAAATTTTCTTTAGATTTTTTCATTTTTCGGTTTTTTAATTTTTTATTTCTCGATCTCTCGATTTTTCGAGATGTCGGTTTTAGATTTTCCGGTTTTTCAATTTTTGGATTTTTGGAATTTCTGATTTTTCAATTTTCCTTCGACTTTTCAATTTTTCGATATTTTAATTTTAGAGTTTTTCAATTTTTGGATTTTTCATTTCCTCGATTTTTCAACTTTTCGATATTTCGATTTTTTGATTTTTCCATTTCGCGATTTCTCGATTTTCCTCTGTCAGTTTAATTTCTCGTTTTTTCAATTTTTCGTTTTTTTAATGCTTCCATTTTTTGCTTTTTGGACTTCTCTGTTCTTCGATTTTTCTATTTTTCAATTTTAGACTTTTTCAATATTTTATTTCCCGATTTTTCGGTTTTTCGATTTTTGAATTTTTTAAATTTTACATTTTTCAATAACTATTAATTTTTGGTTTTTTCCAAAACACCAAAATTCCCAAATCCTCAAAACACCTAAATCCTCAAGACTAAAATCCCCAAATCCTCAAAACACCAAACTTCCCAAATTTTCAAAACACCATAGAATTGAAAAATCCAAAAATCGAGAAATCGAAAAATTACTGTATCGAAAAATTGAAAAATCGAGAAATCAAATCAACGAAAAATCGGAAAATTGTGAAATTTAATGTGGAAAAATCTAAAATTTAAAAAATCGAAAAACTGAAAAATTGAGAATTCAAAATGTCAAAAATTTGGAAAAATCGAGAAATTGTGAAGTCCAAAAAATTAAAATATTGAAAAAGTGAAAATCGAAAAACCGAAAAATCGAAAAACTGATATATCGAAAGAAAACTGAAAAATCAAAAAGTAGGAAAATTTAAAAACCCCCAGAAATCAAAAAACCTAAAAATCTAAAAATTGAAAAATCGGAAAATTGATTAATTAAAAAACACCAAAACTCAATCATCGAAAAATTTAAGAATTGAAAAATTGAAAAACCGGAAAATCCAGAAATCGAAAATTAAAAAACTTTTGTTAAATCGAAAGTTGAAAAATTGAGAATTTTTAAAAAATTGTAAAATCCTAAAACTGAAATATTGAAAAACTGATAAATCTAAAAACCGAAAAATCGAAAAATAGATAAATAGAAGGAAAACTCTCGATCTTTCCATTTTTTTATTTCCCGATGTTTCAATTGTTCGATTTCTCGGTTTTTCGATTTTTAAATTTTTCGATTTCACTATTTTTAAATTTTTTAATGTCAATTTTTCGACTTTTTGAATTTCCAATTTCTCGATTTTTCAAGTTTTCGATTTCTTAGTGTTTCAACTATTCAATATGTCGGGTGTTCAAGTGAAAAAGTCATCAAGTTGGTATTGATATTGAGTTAAATCGAAAATTTGAAAAAATTGATAAATTGAAAAATGGAAAAACCTAAAAATCGAAAAATTGAAAAATCGAAGAAAAATTAAAAAATCGAAAAATTGATAAATTCCAAATTTGACCATCGAAAAATTGGCGAAAACCTGAAAAGTGGAAATCGAAAATTTTAAAAATGGAAAAATCAAAAACCTGAAAAATTGAATAATCGAAAAACCTAAAAATCAAAATTGAAAAATCGAGGGAAAACTGAAAAATAAGAAAATTGAAAAATCCCAGAATTGAATCATGGAAAAATTGACAAAAACCCGAAAAGTGGAAAAATTGGAAATTTTAATAATCGAAAAATTGAAAAATCAAAAACCTGAAAAATTTAAAAACTGAGAAATCGAAAATTAAAAAAGTTGAATTAAATCAAAAATTTGAAATATTGAGAAATTGAAAATTCGGAAAACCTAAAAATTGGAAAATTCCGAAATTCAGTTATCGAAAAATTGACGAAAACCCGAAAAGTGGAAAAATCAAAAACCTGAAAAATTAAAAAATTGAAAAATCCAAGGAAAATTGAATTCAATTGAAAAATCCCATTTTTAAAAAATATAAGAATTAAAAAATTGAAAAATCGAGAAATACAAAAATTAAAAAAATTGAGAAAATCGAAATTTTGAGAAATTGAAAAATCGAAAAATTAACAAATCGAGAAATTGAAAAAACCTAAAACTGAAATATCGAAAAATTGATAAATCTAAAAACCTAAATATCGAAAAATTGATAAATTGAAGGAAAACTGAAAAATCGAAAAATTGAAAAATCGAAAAAATTAAAAATCTCAAAATTGAATCATCGAAAAATTGACAAAAAGTGAAAAGTGGAAAAATCGAAAAGCAAGAGCTTGAAAAATTGAAACACTGACAAATCGAAAAACGAAAAATCGGAAAATTGATTAATTGAAAAACACCAAACCTCAATCATCGAAAAATTTAAGAATTGAAAAACTGATAAACCGGAAAATCGAGAAACGGAAAAATCAAGAAATCGAAAATTAAAAAACTTTGGTAAAATCGAAAATTGAAAAATTGGGCAATTGAACAATTGAAACTTCAAAACATTGAAAAATTGTAAAACCGAAAAAATATCGAAAATTTAAAGAATCGTAAAATCCTAAAACTGAAATATTGAAAAACCGATAAATCTAAAAACCGAAAAATCGAAAAATAAATAAATAGAAGGAAAACTCTCGATCTTTCCATTTTTTTTTATTTCCCGATGTTTCAATTTTTTCGATTTTTAAATTATTCGATTTCACTATTTTTAAATTTTTTAATGTAAATTTTTCGACTTTTTGAATTTCCAATTTCTCGATTTTTCAAGTTTTCGGTTTCTTAGTGTTTCAACTATACAATATGTCGGGTGTTCAAGTGAAAAAGTCATCAAGTTGGCATTGATATTTTATTAACATTGTCGTATGTCTACAATAAACCTAAAATTCAGTCGATGACAGCTAAATAACTAAGATGGCCGCCGATTCAGTGGTACCGATCATGGTAGAAGGAGACATGGTATAGGCATACGCATCGACTGTGACGTCAAGTGGGGTGAAATTAGCGCGAAATTTAAAATACAATTCGTTATCCGACAACTAATTGACGTATTGGACAGAGCACTGACAACTCAAGCTAAAATTCCCTAGACTTCCCTAGCGAAGCTCACAAGAGTCACAAGGTCGTTGATGCCACCTAACGTCACAAATGGATGCGCAGACCATTTTTAAATTGGTACATCGGATGCCTATACCATGTCTCCTTCTACCATGGTACCGATCAAGTGAAAAAACTAGTAATATTTGTCCGCACTCAAATTTAAGTTGGCAACAATTAATTTTTTAAATTAAGCACCACATTCAATCGGTGTGATAAAATCAGCCCAAATGCTTCAATATTGCCCAACTAAATTTGAGTGCGAACAAATATTACCATGTTTTTCACTTGATTGGTACCACTGAATCGGCGGCCATCTTAGTTGATTAACTGTCATCGATTAAATTTGAAATGACAATTATATTTGTCAAGACCCTGGAATAAAAATGATCTGATTAATTCTGCTAAATCTCCACGATTCTATATTTGATCTGTCAAATGTTAAAACCGCTACCAACCTCACAACATAAAGTTCCCGAGATGAAATTTTTTGTACTTGCGTCCGCTTGTATAATCTAGTACTTCACCCACAGCCAACCCAAGTACCTACTTCCTGGTTTCAGGAGGCCACCCGGCTGGCGCTCGTGTCGGGGGACCAGGCCACGTACGCGCGCAGCATCCGCATCATGGGCGACATCTACAGGAAGAAGACCGACATTAACGTGAGGGCGGCGACCAGCCTTAACTTGACTGTAAGTGGGCGGTTTCAGAAAGCCTTCCGGCAGTACGAGACCGCCATGGGGTCGGCCGCCGCCATGGGGGACCGCGTCATCCAGATGGAGTCGATGGATGGGGCGGCGAGGTGTCTGGAGGCGCTGCGGCTCCAGCACAAAATCTGCAACTGCCGACCATTAGAGTTCAACACAAGACTGTTAGAAGTAGCTAGTTCCGTCGGTGCTAAAGTGAGGCTTGCACGGCTCGATTTCAGGCGAACTTGACGGCTGCTGTGTTGTAGCTGCTGGTGAGGACGGTGCGCATGCGGCTTTCGCGCATCTACCACGCTCTAGGTGACGAGGACCAGAAGCTCCACCACGAGAGGGTGGCGTTCCGACTCCAGCAGGACCTGGATTTGATGTGCGGGGGCTGCGGCTCGCCGTACGGGCTCGAGAGCGACTCCCTGGAGGCTTTGCCGTGCGCTCATATCTTACACGCGAGGTAAGCGGCGGCCAACTTCGTTTTTACTTCGTCTAGACTGTGAAAAAAGTGATCCTCTATTTCCGTCTGTCTGTCTAACTGTCTGTCAGATTGTCGACAAATTTTGTATATATATATTAGTGAATCATAAACAAAATACCTATATCCTCAAATTCTCAAAACACCAAAAGCCCCAAATCATCAAACCACCAAAATACTCAAATCCTCAAATTGTCAAAATACCAAAATCCTCAAATACTCAAAACACCAAAATCCTCAAAACAGCAAAACCACAAATCCTCAAAATGCCAATATTTTCAAATAATCAAAATACCAAAATACCCAAATCTTCAAAATATCAAAATCCTCAAATCCTCAAAACACCAAAATCCCCAAATCCTCAAACCACCAAAATTCCGAAATGTTCAAAACAGCAAAACCTCAAATCCTCAAAATGCTAATATTTTCAAATAATCAAAATACTAAATTCCCCAAATCTTCAAAATATCAAAGTCTTCAAATCCTCAAAACACTAAAATCCCCAAATCCTCAAACCAGCAAAATCCCCAAATGTTCAAAACACCAGAATTCTCAAATCCTCAAATCACAAAATTCCCCAAATACTCAAAACACCAAAATCCCCAAATCCTCAAAACAGTGAATCCCCCAAATCCTCAAAATACCTAATTCCTCAAATTCTCAAAACACCAAAAGCCCCAAATCCTCAAATCATCAAACCACCAAGATACCCAAATTGTCAACATCCTCAAATGTTCAAAACACCAGAATTCTCAAATCCTCAAAACACAAAAATCCCCAAATATTCAAAACAGCAAAACCTCAAATCCTCAAAATGCTAATATTTTCAAATAATCAAAATACTAAATTCCCCAAATCTTCAAAATATCAAAATCTTCAAATCCTCAAAACACTAAAATCCCCAAATCCTCAAACCAGCAAAATCCCCAAATGTTCAAAACACCAGAATTCTCAAATCCTCAAATCACAAAAATCCCCAAATACTCAAAACAGCAAAACCTCAAATCCTCAAAATGTTAATATTTTCAAATAATCAAAATACTAAATTCCCCAAATCTTCAAAATATCAGAATCTTCAAATCCTCAAAACACTAAAATCCCCAAATCCTCAAACCAGCAAAATCCCCAAATGTTCAAAACACCAGAATTCTCAAATCCTCAAATCACAAAATTCCCCAAATACTCAAAACACCAAAATCCCCAAATCCTCAAAACAGTGAATCCCCCAAATCCTCAAAATACCTAATTCCTCAAATTCTCAAAACACCAAAAGCCCCAAATCCTCAAATCATCAAACCACCAAGATACCCAAATTGTCAACATCCTCAAATGTTCAAAACACCAGAATTCTCAAATCCTCAAAACACAAAAATCCCCAAATATTCAAAACAGCAAAACCTCAAATCCTCAAAATGCTAATATTTTCAAATAATCAAAATACTAAATTCCCCAAATCTTCAAAATATCAAAATCTTCAAATCCTCAAAACACTAAAATCCCCAAATCCTCAAACCAGCAAAATCCCCAAATATTCAAAACACCAGAATTCTCAAATCCTCAAATCACAAAAATCCCCAAATACTCAAAACAGCAAAACCTCAAATCCTCAAAATGCTAATATTTTCAAATAATCAAAATACTAAATTCCCCAAATCTTCAAAATATCAAAATCCCCAAATGTTCAAAACACCAGAATTCTCAAATCCTCAAATCACAAAATTCCCCAAATACTCAAAACACCAAAATCCCCAAATCCTTAAAACAGTGAATCCCCCAAATCCTCAAAATACCTAATTCCTCAAATTCTCAAAACACCAAAAGCCCCAAATCCTCAAATTGTCAGAATACCAAAATCATCAAATACTCAAAACATCAAAATCTTCAAATCCTCAAAAGACCAAAATCCGCAAAATCCTCAAAACAGCAAAACTTCAATTCCTCAAAATGCCAATATTTTCAAATAATCAAAATACTAAAATCCCCAAATCTTCAAAATATCAAAATACTCAAATCCTCAAAACACGAAAATCCCCAAATCCTCAAACCACCAAAAGCACCAAATCATCAAACCACCAAAATACTCAAATCCTCAAATACTCAAAACACGAAAATCCTCAAATCCTCAAAAGACCAAAATTCCCAAATCTTCAAAACACCAAAATTCTCAGCGTTTCCTGTGACCTGGAAATTTCGAGAGTCCTCAAAAATCTCAATCACGAAACATCAAACAATTCAAAAATCCAAAATTGAAAAAATTTTAAAATTGTAAAATAAAAAAACCGACGAACTGAAAAATCCAAAAATCGAGAAATCGAAAAATTGAGAAATCGAAAAAGATTGAAAAATTTACTGTGGAAAAATCCAAAATTTAAAAAATCGAAAAATCATGAAATTCTAAAACTGAAATATCGAAAAACTAATAAATCAAGTAAAACTGAAAAATCGAAAAATCGAAAAATTGGAAAATCCCAAAATTGAATCATCGAAAAATTGACAAAAACCGAAAAGTGGAAAAATCGTAAAATTTAAGAAATCGAAAAATCAAAAACCTGGAAAACTGAAAAAGTGAGAATTCGAAAAGCCTAAAAATCGAAAAATTAAAAAATTTAAGGAAAATTAGATAATTGAAAAATCCTAAAATTGAAAAGCTGAGAATTTTAAAAGCCTAAAACTCGAAAAATTAAAAAATCTAAGGAAAATTGGATAATTAAAAAATTCTAAAACTGAATTGAACTGAAGAATTGAAAAATTGAAAATCCGGAAAATTGAAAAATGGAAAGATAAGAAATCGAAATACGGAAAAGTTGAAAAATCGAGAATTCGAAAATTAAAAAAATTTGAAAAATAGAGAAATTGCAAAAATCGAAAATTTCAAAAATCTAAAAATTAAAAATCGGAGGAAAATTCGGTAATTGAAAAATCCCAGAACAGAATCGTCGAAAAATTTAAGAATTGAAAAACTGAAAACCGAAAAATCTAGAAATGGAAAAACCTAAAAATCGAAAAATTGAAAAGTCGAAGGAAAACTGGATAATTGAAAATCTCAAAACTGAGTCATCGAAAAACCGGAAAATCAAGAAATAGAAAAATAAAAAAATCTTAATATGGAAAAATTGACCACGAGAAATAGAAAATGAAAAAATTAAATTCAATCGAAAATTTGAAAAATTGAGAAATTGGAAAAATCGAAAATATAAAAAATTGAGAAAATTAAAAATCCAAGGAAAATTCAGTAATTGAAAAATTCCAGGACTGAATCATCGAAAAATCCAGAAATGAAAAAATCAGAAAATCGAAATATGGAAAAGTTGAAAAATCGAGAAATCGAAACTTTAATAGAGTTAAATCGAAAAACCCAACAATCGAAAAATTGAAAAATCAAAAAATTGAAAAATCCCAAAACTGAATCAAACAGTGGAAAAATCCTAAAATTTAAAAAATCGAAAAATGAAAAAATCGAAAACCTGAAAAATTGAAAAACTGAGAAATGGAAAAGCCTAAAAATTTAAAAATTGAAAAATCGAAGTAAAGTTGGATAATTGAAAAATCCCAAAATTGAGTCATGGAAAAATGTAAGAATTGAAAAACTGAAAAAGTGGAAAATCGAAATAAGGAAAAGTTGAAAACGAAAATTTGGAAATAAAAAAATTAGTTTAATCGAAAATTGGAAAAATCGAAGGAAAATTCAGTAATTGAAAAATCCCAGAAGTGAATAATTGAAAAATTTAAGAACCGGAAAATTGAGAATTGGAAAAATGGAAAAATCGAAATATGGGAAAGTTGAAAAACGAGAAATAGAAAATTAAAAAAATTGTGTTAAATCGAAAATTAAAAAAATTGTGTTAAACTGAAAATTTGAAAAATGTAGAAATTGAAAAATCGAAAAACCTAAAAATCGAAAAATTGGTAAATCGAAGGAAAACAGAAAAATCGAAAAACTGCAAAATCCCAAAATTGAATCATCGAAAAATTTACGAAAACCCGAAAAGTGTAAAAATCGAAAATTTAAAAGATTGAAAAATCAAAAACCCGAAAAACTGAAAAAATTGAAATGGAAAAATCAAAAAATCAAAACATGGAAAAGCTGAAAAATCGAGAAATCGAAAATAAAAAAAAAATGAATTGAATCGAAAAATGAAAAATTGAGAAAATGAAAAATTGAGAAATTGAAAAATCGAAAATTTTAAAAATCGAACAATTAAAAATCAAAGGAAAATTCAGTAATTGAAAAATCCCAGAAGTGAACAATTGAAAAATTTAAGAACCGGAAAATCGAAAAATGGAAAAATCGAAATATGGAAAAGTTGAAAAACGAGAAATAGAAAATTAAAAAAATGTGTTAAATCGAAAATTAAAAAAATTGTGTTAAACTGAAAATTTGAAAAATGTAGAAATTGAAAATCGAAAAACCTAAAAATCGAAAAATTGGCAAATCGAAGGAAAACAGAAAAATCGAAAAACTGCAAAATCCCAAAATTAAATCATCGAAAAATTTACGAAAACCCGAAAAGTGTAAAAATCGAAAATTTAAAAAATTGAAAAATCAAAAACCCGAAAAACTGAAAAAATCGAAATGGAAAAATCAAAAAATCAAAACATGGAAAAGCTGAAAAATCAAGAAATCGAAAATAAAAAAAATATATTTGAATCGAAAAATGAAAAATTGAGAAATTGAAAAATCGAAAATTGAAACAATCGAAAAATTAAAAATCAAAGGAAAATTCAGTAATTGAAAAATCCCACAAGTGAATAATTGAAAAATTTAAGAACGGGAAAATCGTGAAATGGAAAAATCGAAATATGGAAAAGTTGAAAAACGAGAAATAGAAAATTAAAAAAATTGTGTTAAATCGAAAATTAAAAAAATTGAGTAAAATTGAAAAATCGAAAAATTGGTAAATCGAAGGAAAACAAAAAAATCGAAAAACTGCAAAATCCCAAAACTGAATCATCGAAAAATTTACGAAAACCCGAAAAGTGGAAAAATCGAAAATTTAAATAATTGAAAAATCAAAAACCTGAAAAACTGAAAAATCGAAAAACCTAAAAATCAAAAATTTTTCAATTGAATTCAATTTCCCTTCGATTTTTGAAGGAAAATTGAATTCAATTGAAAAATTCCAAATCTGAACCATCGAAAAATTTAAGAATTGAAAACCTGAAAGACCGGAAAATCGAGAAGAGGAAAAATCAAAAATCAAAACATGGAAAAGTTGAAAAATGGAGAAATCGATAATAAAAAAAAAAAATAACTGAAACGAAAATTTGAAAAATGGAGAAATTGAATAATCGAAAATTTAAAGAATCGAAAAATTTTAAAATCATAAACCTGCAAAATATCAAAGGAAAATTGGTTGATTGAAAAATCCCAAAACTGAATTGGCAGAAAAATTTAAGAATTGAAAAACTGAAAAACCGGAAAATCGAAAACTCGCAAAAAGCGGAATATGGAAAAGTTGAAAAATGGGAAATCGAAAATTAAAAAATTGAGTTAAATCGAAAATTTGAGAAATTGAGAAATTGAAAAATGGATAATTTACAAAATTCAAAAATTCAAAAATCCTAGAACTGAAATATCGAAAAATTGATAAATCGAAAAACCCAAATGTCGAAAAATTGATAAATCGAAAAAAAAAAGAAATTTCGAAAAATTGAAAAATCCCAAAATTGAATCATGGAAAAATTGGAAAACCCGAAACGTGGAAAAAATTAAAATTGAAAATGTCGTAAAATTGAAAAATCAAAAACCTGAAATCGAAAATTTAAAAAGTTTAATTAAATGAAAAATTTGAAAAATTAAGAAATCGAAAAATCGAAGATTAAAAAATTGAGAAATTGACCTGAAAAATTGGAAAACTGGGAAATCAAGAAATGCAAAAGTCATAAAATCAAAATATGGAAAATTTGAAAAATCGAGAAATTAAAAAATCCTAAATTTAAAAAACCGAAAAATTGAAAAATTCAAAAGTTGAAAAATTGCACAATGATAAAAATAGGATCTGCCGGAAAATTGGAAAGAAAAGAAAAGAAAAAACCGAAACGAAAATTTATAAATCGAAAATTTAATAAGACATGAAAAATTGAAAAATGGAAAAATTGCAAATTCTATAAATTGAAACATTCCAAAGTTGGAAAATCAAAAAATTGAAGAAACAAAAAAATGAAAAACTGAAAAATTACAAATTGAAAAATTGAAAAAACTGAAACTGAAAAAAAAATGGTTTTCACTTTATAGAATTTATCAATAAACAAAAACCGCCAACAATTTCTATAACATTTGATAAAAGCGCTACGCTTCAGAGACTAGGGAAGTTCCTTCGAAATAACTTCGGACCTATTTTCGTGTAGAGATGAAGTTGGCCGTTCACGTTTTGTTCGCAGATGTGCCTACGACTTGTTCCGGCGGAGCAAAAAGAAGAAGAGGTCGTGCCCCGAATGCGATAGGACTAGTTCTAGGTTATACTTGAATTGTACAGATTACAACCCGTCGTACAGTCCGGTTCCGTTGTCTGTCTGTTCTTCCGACAGCCACTGTACCTCGCACCAAGCCACGAGTTCGGTTTAGTCGTTCACAGGCCAACATTTGTGGACGCCCCGTCCGATGGGGCGTCCTTCAGCTGAATCTCTCTCGGTTTCGGTTTCTCTTCGACCACCGTACAATCAATCAATCATTCAACGAACAATCATCACTGGAGCATTTCTTTAGCGTTTAGGCCAGATTCTGTAGAGTAGTAAATGTAGGTGTTAAAATTCTATTGGAAATGACGCACTCTCCTTCCATGCACTACTTTGAACTAAATATTTTCCGAGTTGTAGGTCGCTAGTTTCTTTCTTTCTAGTCCGGAATCATGATATCACGTGTCGAGCGGACGATTTTGTGTAAATATGGAGGTTTTTATTGTAAATATTGAAAGACTTATTGTACATAAGATTTAATCAAATTAAAAGGATTATGCGATTTTTATTACATTATTTTCACCTATCCCCTATGTATTAGGTTAAGCTCGACTGGACCGTCAATTTTCACGATTAATAAAAGTATACAAGAGTATACAAAGTGGACTAAAATAATAAAATTTTGAGTTTATGTTTTAGAATATTTCGTTAAAAGTATATATATTTTGAACCCTGTCGCCAATGAAGCATTTTACGTAGTGCGATTAAAAGATCTAGAATATTTAGAATAAATATATGAATTGCTGGAAACGTTAGACTCTAAAACTTTGGATTTTTTCGAATCTTTAGCATTTCCAGAATCTTCAGAACCTCTAAAATCTTTAAAACCTCTAGAATTTCCAGAATCTTTAATCTCCAAAATCACTGGAATCGCTAGTCTCTAAAACTTTGTATTTCTTTATTCTTTAGAATCTCTAGAATCTTTAACTAACATCTACAGAACCTCCAGAATATCTAGAATTTCTAAAACCTCTAGAATTTCTAGAATTTTTAGAATTTCTAGGCTCTAGATTCCTTGAAATCTTTAAAATCTTTATAATCTCCATCATTTTAGGAATTGCTAGAATTGGTCGAATCCTTAGAGTCTTTAGCATCTCCAGAATTTCCAGAAGATTTATAATCTCTAAAACCTCTAGAAAATCTAGAATCTTTTGAATTTTCAAAATATCTAGAATTTCTCGAATCTTTAAAATCTCTAACCTCTGGAACTGCTGTAAGCAATAGACCGTAAAACTTTGGATTTCTTGGAATTTTTAGAACTTTTGGTAAATCTCTTGAATCTCTAGAATCACCCAAACCTCTACAATCTCTAAAACGTCTAGAACTCCTAGAATAAATTTTTAGAATCTCTAGAATTCCTGGAACTACTAAACTCTTAACATTTGAATTTCTTCAAAAATGTTTAGAATCTCCCGAAACTTTAACTAACAACTACAGAATTACCATAATCTTCATAGTCTTTAGAACATCTAGAACCTATAAAAACTTAAAATTTCTAGAATTTTTCGGATTTCTAAAATATATCGAAAACCTGTAGAATCTCTAAAATCTTTAGAATATCTAGAATTTCTGGAACCGCTAAACACCAAAAATTTGGCTTTCCTGGAATCTTTCGAAACTTAACTTCTTCAGAATGTCCAAAATCTCAAGAATCTCTAGAATGTTCAGAGTTTCTAAAATTTTTTGAATCTGTAGAATTTCCAGAATCTTTAGTACATATATCACTAGAATTGCAGCAATCGCTAGACTCTGAAACTTTGTATTTTTTGGAATCCTTAGAATCTTTAACATCTCCAGAATTTCCAAAATCTCCATCTTCGGATTGTCTAGAATTTTTCTAATCTATAGAACCTCTAGAATCAGCAGAATCTTCAGCATCTCCACAAACTTCAAAACTTCTAGAATTTCTAGAATCTTTAGAATCTCTAGAATTGCTGGAACCGCTAGACTTTAAAACTATGGATTTTTAAAATTTTTACGATCTTTCTAGAATTTGTTAAATCTTTAGAACCTGTAGAATCCTTAGAACTTCTATAATGTCTAAAACCTCTACAAACTTTAGAATCTCCAAAATGTCTATAACCTTTGAAACCTCTAGAATTCCTAGAATCTCTGGATTTTTTGGAATATCTAGTATTTCTTAGAATTTCCAGAATATTTAGCATTTCCAGAATTTCCAGGACTTTAAGTATTTCCAAAATCTCAAGAATCTTTAGAATCTCTAGATCCTTTGGAATTTCTAAAATTTCTTGAATCTTTAGAATCTCTAAAATCCTTAGAACCTCGAAAGTCTTTAGAATCCAGAATCTTTAGCATGTCCACAATTTTCAGAACCTCTAGAACGTCTAAAACTTTTGAATCTCCAAAATTTCTAGAACTTTTGAAACTCTAGAATTCCAAGAATCTCTGGATTTTTTGGAATTTCTAGAATTCCTTAGAATTTCCAGAATATTTAGCATTTCCAGAATTTCCAGGACTTTAAGTATTTCCAAAATCTCAAGAATCTTTAGAATCTCTAGAACCTTTGGAATTTCTAAAATTTCTTGAATCTTTAGAACCTCTAAAATCCTTAGAACCTCGAAAGTCTTTAGAATCCAGAATCTTTAGCATATCTACAATTTTCAGAACCTCTAGAACGTCTAAAACTTTTAAATCTCCAAAATTTCTAGAACTTTTGAAACCTCTAGAATTCCAAGAATCTCTGGATTTTTTGGAATTTCTAGAATTCCTTAGAATTTCCAGAATATTTAGCATTTCTAGAATTTCCAGGACTTTAAGTATTTCCAAAATCTCAAGAATCTTTAGAATCTCTAGAACCTTTGGAATTTCTAAAATTTCTTGAATCTTTAGAATCTCTAAAATCCTTAGAACCTCGAAAGTCTCTAGAATCCAGAATCTTTAGCATGTCCACAATTTTCAGAACCTCTAGAACGTCTAAAACTTTTGAATCACTAAAATTTCTAGAACTGTTTCTGGAATTTTCGGAATTTCTAGAATTCCTAGAATCTTCAGGATTTCGAGAATTTCCAGAACATCTAGAATCTCCATAGCCTCCAGAACCTCTAGAATCTTTAGAATCTCTAGGATTGCTGGAACCGCTGGACTCTAAAACTTTGTATTTCTAAGAATGTTTAACATCTTAACATCTTCAGAATCCTCAAAATCTCAAAAATTTCTAGAGGAGCTTCTAGTATTTTTTGAATTTTTAGAATCTCCAGATTCTTTAGTATTTCGAGAATTTCCCGAGCTTGTAGAATATTTAAAACCTCTAGAATTGCTGGAATCGCGAGACTCTAACACTATTGATTTTTTGGTATCTTTCTAAAGATACCAAAAATGAGATACCAGATGTTAAAGATTCTAATCTTTAACATCTCCCGAATCACTAGAATCTCTAGAGTCTTTAGAGTTTTTAGATTCTGCAGAATTTTTGGAATTTCTAGAATTTTTCGGATCTATAGAACCTCTAGAATTGCTAGAACTGGTAGACTTAACAACTATGGATTTCTTGGAACTTTTAGGATCTTTAGAATCCCCAGAATCTCCAAAATCTCAAGAATCTTTAGAATCTTCAAAATTTTTGGAATTTCTAGAATATCTTAAACCTTTAGAATCTGCAGAATCCTTAGAACCTCTAGAATTCCTAGAATCTCCAGAATATTTAGCATTTCTAGAATTTCCAGGACTTCTAGATCTTAAAAATCGTGGGAATCTTTAGAAGCTCTAGAACTTTTTGAATGTCTAGAATTTCCTGAATCTTTAGAATTTATAGAATCCTTAAAACATCGAGAGTCTTTAAAATCCAGAATATTTAACATGTCCACAATTTCCAGAACCTCTAGAACATCTAAATCCTCTAGAAACTTTTGAATCTCCAAAATTTCTAGAACTTCTAGAATCTCCATTACCTCCAGAAGCTCTAGAATCTTTAGAATCTCTAGGATTGCTGGAACCGCTACACCCTAAAACTTTGTGTGTCTTGGAATATCTAACATCTTTAGAATTTTTTACATAGAACTTCTAGAATCTTTAGAATCTGTAGAATTTTTAAAATTTCTAGAATTTTGCGAAACTTTAGAATTGCTGTAACCCCTATGGATTTCTTGGAATTTTGGGATGTATAGAATTTTCAGAATTCAGTATTGGAATTTCTAGAATTTTTCGTATCCTTAACCTCTAGAAGTGCTGGAACCTGTAGACTCTAAAACTTTAGATTTCCATGTACTCTCTAGAATCAGTGGTATTTTTGAATCTCTAGAATTTCTGGAATCTTTACGACCAATTTCAAGAATCTTTGGAACCCTTGAAATCTCTAGATTGGTGAATCTTTATAATCTCTATAATTTTTGGAAATTCTAGAATTTCGTTAATCTTCAGCATGTCCATAATTTCCAGAAACTCTAGAATGTCTAAAATCTCTAGAATTTTTAGAATCTCCAAAATTTCTACAACCTTTAAAACATCTAGAATCGGTGGAATTTTTGGAATTTCTAGAATTCTTCGAATCTTTGGAATTTCCACCATCTTTAGCATTTCCAGAATTTCCAGAGCTTCTAAATTCTCTGAAACCTCTAGAACCTCTATAATCTTTAGGATATCTAGAATTGCTGGAAAAGTTAAAGTCTAGAATTTTGTATTTCTTCCAAACTTTAGAGTCTTTAACATCTCAGAATATTTAGAATTTTTCGAATTTTTGGAAACTCCAGAATCTGCAGAATCTTCAACATCTCCAAAACCCCTTGAATTTCTGGAATCTTAACCGCTAGACTTTAAAACTATGTATTTCTTGGAAATGAGAGAATCTTTACAATCTTCAGAATTTTTAGAATCTTCAGAATCTCTAGAATTTTCAGAATCTCTAGCATTTATAGAATTTCTCGAATCTTTAGAATTTGCGATCTCTGGAATTGCTGGAACCGGTAGACTCTAAAGCTTTAGATTTCTTGGAATCTCTGGAATTTTTGGAATTTCAGGAATTTCTAGAATCTTTAGAATCTGTGCAATTGCTGGATTCTAAATCTTCGTATATATTTAAATCTTTACAATCTTTAACATCTTTAAAATCTGTAGAATTTTTGGAATTTCTAATATATTTAGAAGCTTTAGAAGTCCTAGAGTCTGCAGAATCTTCCGCATCTTCAGAATTTCCTGAACCTCTAGAATCTTTAAAATCTCTAGAATTTTTGGAATTTCTAGAATTTTTAGAATCTTTAGAATCTCTACAATTGCTGAACTGCTAAACTCTAAAACTTGTACACTCTGTAGAATGTCTAAATTCTCTATAATCTCTAGAATTAGTAGAAATCTTTAGTCTTTGAATTTTTAGAATCTCTAGAATCGCTAGAATTTCTAGACACAAAAATTTGTACAACCTCTAGAACCTCGAGAAAGTCTGAAACCTGAGAATCTCTGGAATTGTTCAGATTATATAGAATTTTTAGAATCTCCAGAAACACTGGAACCGTTAAACTCTAAAAATTGTACAATCTCTAGAATATTTAGAATCTCTGGAATATCTATCTACAATTTTAAGAATATCTGGCTTCTTTAGAATTTGTAGAATCTTTAGAATCGGTGCAACGGCTAGAACCACTAGACTCTAAAACTTTGGATTTCTCGGAATCTTTGAAAATCCAGAACCATGACACCACGTATCGAACAGACGATTTTGTCTAAATATGGAAGTTTTTATTGTAAATATTGAAAGACTGACTGTACAGAAATTTTAATCAAATTAAAAGGATCATACGATTTTTATGACATTATTTTCATCCAAACCTCACATATTAGGTTAAGCTCGACTAGACCTATAATATTCACTCTTAGTAAAAGTAGTAGCGTTTATTCATAACAAGTAGTATATACAGATCATACTGAAATAACAAAATTTTAATCTTACGGTTTAGACTATTTCGTTAAAAGTATATATTTTGAACACTTTGTCGTCAATGAGGCATTTCACGTAGTGAGGTTAGTACGTCGTCCCCTGGATTCTATGACACTGAGTCAGCGCATCCCCATTGAACCCATCAGCACACGTACACACAGCAATATGGCGTCTCGGGTTGCAGTTGGCGTTGACCCCACATTGACCAACACACGGGTTCTGGCATCTACAACCACAACATAACTATTCGTTACAAACACAAAAAAAAAACAAAATTACTTGTAGTCAATGCAGGCCTTGGAATCTGGACAATGCGGATCCTCGGTACATTCCCCAGGACGGCAACCCGTGAGCGGATCACCCACGTACCCCGGATGACAAGTACACACCGGCCGCTCCTTGTTCGTCCTATCATAACCAGGCTCACACCGGGCATTGTCACCGCAGGGGTTCGGCTCACACAAGTCGCGCTTATCGAAAGGTCTGCAACTAATGAAAGGATCGCCCGTCATGTCTCTGGGACAGGAACAAATGGGTGTGAGCCCCCTCAGCTCGCAGTTCGCCGACACTCCACAAACCCCATCGCACGGGTTCTTGCAAATCCCATAGAAACAGGCCGGTTTTCCGCTGGGGCAGTCGCTGTCTCCGTAGCACTCGGGTTGACAGGACACCAATGGGTTGCCGAAGTAGTTCTTGGGGCATTTGCACACGGGTCGGTGGTTTCTGACGTCACATTCCGCGTTTTTTCCACATTGGGAGCATGGGTTCTGGCACTTGAACTCGATACAGGCTAGGGAAGGTCCGCACTCGGAGTCGCTGTCGCACTCGTGGCGGCACCCAGAGATGGGCGAGCCGTGGTACCCTGGGAGGCACTTGCACGTGGGGGTTTCGTTCACCACCTCGCAGAGGGTGTTGGAGCCGCAAGGGCTGGGGTGGCACAACTCCGCTACGAGACAAAATTGAGGTTAAGAAATGTGTTCTGTGAGTTTGTGGATGATTTTGGGGTCGAACTGGTAGTGGAAGCGTGCCGCCTATCACTTCATGTAGATTTAACTAAATGCCCAAGGACGCGTGACAAATACTATAAGCATCTGTATAACTGGTTGCCTAATTGTTCAGTTTTTACCCGTAACATCTAGATTTTTCGAAAAAAAAAAAATTAAAACAGTATAGCAACATTTTACGATTTAACTTTGAAATTGCAATTTTACAGTTTAAAATTTCACCAGTTTTCAATTTCAATTCTTTTTATTTCACGTTTCTTCAATTTTTCAATGTGAAATTTTTCATTTTTTGGTTTTCTCAGTTTCTCAATTTTTTTTATTTTTCGGATGTTTAGAAATGCTGGAACTGATAGATTCTAAAACCTTGAATTTCTTGGAACCTGTAAAATCTCTAGGATATTTAGAATATCTAGAACTGTGGGAACCGCTAGACTCTAAAACTATGGATGTTTTGGAACTTTTAGGATCTTTAGAAACTCCAGAATCTGCAAAATCTCAGAATCGTTAGAATCTTTAGAATTTTTGAAATTTCTAGAATTCCCCGAATTTTTAGAATCCAAAATCCTTAACATCCCCACAACTTCCAGAACCTCTAGAACTTCTAAAACCTCTAGGAACTTCAGAGTCTCCAAAATTTCTAGAAGTTTAAAAAATTTTTGTAATTTTTAGAATTTCTCGAATTTTTAAAATCTCCACGATCTTTAGCATTTTCAAGATTTCCAGAACTTCTAGAATCTCTAAAACTCCAGAACCTCTAGAATCTTTAGAATCTCTAAAATTACTAGAACCGCTAGACTCTAAAATTGTGTATTTCTTGGAATTTTTAGAATCTTTAACATCTCTATAACCCGCAGAATCCCTAGAATTTCTGGAACCGCTAAAACCTCTACAATTTCTAGAATTTTGGAATTACTAGAATTCCTGGAATCTTTAGAATCTCCAGAATCTCTAGAATTTTTACAATGTTTAGAACGTCTAGAATCTGCAGAATCCTAAGCATTTCCACAATCTCCAAAACCCCTAGTATTTCCAGAACATCTAGAATCTCTAAAACTCCAGAACCTCTAGAATCTTTAGAATCTCTAAAATTGCTAGAACCGATGGACTCTAAAAGTGTGTATTTCTTGGAATCTTTAGAATCTTTAACATCTCTATAAACCGTAGAATCTCTAAAATTTCTAATCTTTAGACTCTCTAGAATTTCTAGAATCATTAGAAGTTCTAGAATTCCTCGAACTCTTAGCTTTTAAAACTATGGATTTCGTAGAACTTTTAAGATCTTTAGAATCTCCAAAATCTCAACAATGTTTAGAATTTCTAGAATTTTTGAAATTTCTACAATTTCTTGAATTTTTATAATCTCTAGAATCCTTAGAACCTTTAGAATCTTTATAATCCAGAATCTTTAGCATCTCCACAATTTCTAGAACCTTTAGAACGTCTAAAACCTCTAGAAACTTTACTCTCCAAAATTTCTAGAACGTTTAAAACCTCTGGAATTTCTAGAATCTCTGGAATTTTTGTAATTTCTAGAATTTCTCGAATATTTATTATCTCCATGATCTTTAGCATTTTCAGGATTTCCAGGATTTCTAGAATATCTAAAACTCCAGAACCTCTAGAATATTTAGAATTTCTAAAATTGCTAGAACCGATGGACTCTAAAAGTGTGTATTTCTTGGAATTTTTAGAATCTTTAACATCTCTATAATCCGTAGACTCTCTAGAATTTCTAGAATCATTAGAAGTTCTAGAATTGCTCGAACTCCTAGCTTTTAAAACTATGGATTTCATAGAACTTTTAAGATCTTTAGAATCTCTATAATCTCGAAAATCTCAACAATCTTTAGAATTTCTAGAATTTTAGAAATGTCTAGAATTTCTTGAATTTTTATAATCTCTAGAATCTTTAGAACTTTTAGAATCTTTATAATCCAGAACTTTAGCATCTCCACAATTTCCAGAACCTCTAGAATGGCTAAAACCTCTAGAAACTTTAGTCTCCAAAATTTCTAGAACCTTTAAAACCTCTAGAATTTCTAGAATCTCTGGAATTTTTGTAATTTCTAGAATTTCTCGAATATAATATAGAATCTCCATGATCTTTAGCATTTTCAAGTTTTCCAGGACTAGATTCTCTGAAACTCCAGAACCTCTAGAAGCTTTAGAATCTCTAGAATTGCTAGAACCGCTGGACTCTAAAATTGTGTATTTCTTGGAATCTTTAGAATCTTTAACATCTCTATAATCCGTAGAATCTCTAGAATTTCTAATCTTTAGACTCTCTGGAATTTCTAGAATCATTAGAAGTTCTAGAATTGCTCGAACTCTCAGCTTTTAAAACTATGGATTTCGTAGAACTTTTAAGATCTTTAGAATCTTTAGAATCTCCAAAATCTCAACAATCTTTAGAATTTCTAAAATTTTTGAAATGTCTAGAAGTTCTTGATTTTTTTAATCTCTAGGATCCTTAAAACTTTTAGAATCTTTATAATCCAGAATTTTTAGCATCTCCACAATTTCTAGAACCTCTAGAATGGCTAAAACCTCTACAAACTGTAGAATCTACAAAATTTCTGGGACCGTTAAAACCTCTAGAATGTCTAGAATCTCTGGAATTTTTGGAGTTTCTAGACTTTCTCGAATTTTTAGAATCTCCAGAACCTGCAAAATTTCTGGAATCTTTAGAATCTCTAGAATTGCTGGAACCGCTAGACCCTAAAGCTGCGTATTTCTTGGAATGTTTAGAATCTTTAACATCTCTAGACTCTTTAGACTTTATAGAATTTTTGGAATTTCTACAATTTCTAAAATCTTCAGAAATTCTAGAATGTTTGGAAACCTTAGACTTTAAAACTACGGATTTCGTGGAATTTTTAGGATGTTTATCATCTCTAGATTTTCGGAATTTGTATAATTTCTTGAATCTTTAGAATTCCTAGAATCCTTAGAACCTCTAGAGTCTTTATAATCCAGAATCTTTAGCGTCTCCACAATTTCCAGAACCTCTAGAAACTTTCGGATTTACAAAATTTCTAGAATCTCTAGTATCTCTGGCATTTTTGGAATTTCTAGAATTTTTCGAATCTTTAGAACTTCTAGAATCTGCAGAATGTTCAACATCTCAACAATGTCTAGAACTTCTAGCGTTCTTAGAACCCTTAGCATCTCTAGAAAGGTTATAGGTGCTAGATTCTAAAACTATGGATTTCTTGGTACTTTTAGAATCTTTAGAATTTTCGGAATTTTTAAAATCTCGAAAACCTGTAGAATCTCTAAATTTTTGAAATTTCAAGAATTTCTTGAATATTTAGAATTTCTAGAATTTTTTGAATTTCTAGAATCTTTAGAATCTGTAACATCTTCAGAATATCTAGAGTCTCTAAAACTTCTATAATCTTTAGAATCTTTTAAATCTTTATACTCTCTAGAATTTTTCGAAACTTTAGAACCTCTAGAATCTGCAAAATCTTCAGCATCTCCACAATCTCCAAAACCTATAGAGTTTCTAGAATCTTTAGAAGCTCTGGAATTGGTGGAACCGCTTGACTTAAACTATGAGTTTTGTAGAAGTGTAGATTTCCAGAATCCCCAAAATCTCAAGAATCTTGAGAATCTCTAAAATTTTTGAAATTTGTAGAATTCCAGGATCTTTAGCATCTCCACAATTCCTAGAACCGTCAAAACCTTAAGAATTTCAAGAATTTTTTTAATCTCCAGAATATTTCCAGAATTTCCGGAAGATCTAGAATCTTTAAAACCTCCAGAACCTCTAAAATCTTTAGAGTCTCTAGAGCTGCTGGAACCGCTATTTTTTGGAATCTTTAGAATCTTTAACATCTCCAGAATCCCCAGAATCTCTAGAGTTTTTAATAACTCTAGAATTTTTGGAGTTTCTAGAATTTTTCGAATCTTTAGAACCTCTAGAATCTGCAAATTCTTCAGCACCACGACAATCTCCAAAACCTCTGGAATTTCTAGAATCTTTAGAATCTCTAAAATTTCTGGAACCGTTAGACTTTAAAACTATAGATTTTTTGGAACTTTTAGGATTTTTGGAATCTCCAGAATCTCTAAAATCTCGAAAACATGCAGAATCTCTAGAATTTTTGGAATTTATCGAATATTTAGTATCTCCATTCTCTAGAATAGCTGGAACCGGTAGACTCTAAATTTAATTAAAATTTCTAAAGATTTCTGGGAATCTTCAGAATTTTTGCAACTTCTAGAATTTTTCGAATTTTTAGAATATCTAATATCTTTAGGGTCTCCAGACCCTCTAGAATCTCTAAAACCTCTAGAATTTTTCGAAGTTCTAGAATCTTTAGGATCTGTGGAATTGCTGGAACCGCTAGACTCTAAAACTTAGTATTTCTTGGAATCTCTACAATTTCTAAAACCTCTAGAATCTTTAGAATATCTATAATTTTTAGAATTTCTATTTCGAATCTGTAGAAGCCCTAATATCCTAATATCTGCAGAAATTTTTAGAATCTGTAGAATCTTTAGAACCTCTAGAATCCAAACATTCTAGAGATTTTAAAGATTCAAAGAAAAGCTTTAGAAACTCTAGAATCTTTAGAATCTATAGAATCTTTGGAATCTCTGGAAACTCTGCATCTCTAGATCCTATGAAATTTGGAACATTTTTAGAATCTCTTGACTTTAAAATTCGTACAATCTCTAGAATCTCCAAATTCTCTAGAGTTTCCAAAGTTATTAGAGTTTCAGGAATCTTTAGAATCTCTAAAATCTTTAGAATTTCTGCAATTGTTGGAACCGCTAAACGCTGAAACTTTTCCAATCTTTGAATTTTTTGTAATTTTTAGAATCTTTAAAATCTATAGAATCTGTAGAATCTTCAGCACCTCCAGAATCTTTAGAAGAGTATTAATTTTTTCAATTTTTCGATGTTTTTCACTTTTTTTTTCTTCAATTTCAATTTTTTTATTTTTTTGTTTCTTCAATTTTATAGATTTTCGTTTTTTCAATTTCACAGTTTTGTAATTTTTCATTTTTTTATTCGATAGGTTGAAAAATCGAAAAATTGAAAACCAAAGAATTAAAAATCGAAAAATTAAAAAATCGGAAAAAATCGCAAAATCGGAAAATTGTAAATCCAAGAACCGAAGAAACAAAAAATTTAAACATTTGAGAGCGAAAGATCGAGAAACTTAAAAATCGAAAAAATCAATTAATAGTTTTTCAGTTTTTTGAAGTTTTTAGTTTTTCGAATTTTCACATTTTCAATTTTACAATTTTCCGGTTTTTCCATTTTTTAATTACTGGATTTTAAAACGTTTTCATTTATTCGAATTTTTCGATTTTTAATTTTTGAAATTCTGGATGTTTAATTTTTCAATTTCTGGGTTTTCCAAATTTTCAATTTGATTCGTTTTTTATTTCCAGTTTTTCTTCAATCTTTCATTTTTTCGTTTCTTCAGTTTTTCGAACTAAAAAATTTAAAAATCGGAAAATTAAAGATTGAAAATTTGAAAACTAAATAAATGAAGTAGTAATGCAGAAAGCTTCATAAAATCGACAATAATGACGTTTCTGAGGGGACTTACATGGGTCGAAGCGGCGGCAGTTGGTGAAGGGATCTCCGGTGAATCCCGCCGGACAGGAGCACACCGGGAGGTGGCTGCGGGCGTTGCAGACGGCGTTGGCCCCACACGTGCCGGCGCAGGGGTCGATGCAGCGGCCGCTGCGGCACGAAAGGTGATTCCGACACTCGGAGTTGTCCAGGCACTCGGCTCGCTTGCAGAAGCTGAGGGGATCCCCCAGGTATCCGCGGAAGCAGGAGCAGACGGGGCGTCCCCCGATCACAGAGCACTGGGCGTTCTGGCCGCACGTGTTGCCCTCGCAGGAGGAAACATAGGCCATGGCTGCGAGTTATAACGATTATAATTAAGTTGGTGGTTGCGGGAGAGTAGTGCGTGTTAAGTGTATATGTATGTATGTATATGAGGTAGTATTACGTGTTCGATTTTGTTATTATAACGCAACAACAATTATAATAATTAATTGCGACTATTATCAGCCGTCCTACGACTATTGTTGTTATTATTGCAATTTATGCCCTTCCTACACAACAACAAATTAGTTCGCGATTTATTATTATAATGTTTTTTTTTAATGAAGCACTTTGGAAGTTATCGGTTTCCTAATTTCGAAATTGCATACATTAACATTTTGTGTAACAATAATTGTTGTTTTTGTTTGGGGCCGCCTACGTGTGTCCTCAACGAAGAAAACGAAGAGGAAAATATAGACACAAGGTCGCAATTAATGGAAATAGCTCGCATTGATTGATTGATGATCTGCTATTGATAAAAGAATAAAAGATTTGTATATTATGTAACTTTTTTGGATTGCTTGCTGGAAATGGTCGGTCTGCATTTTCGGTGTTGGTGGGCGTTTTAATTGCACGAAGATGCATATGATTATAGATTGTGATGAACTAAAAAGGAGATTTGAGAAAATACTGCTTTGACTAATATTTATTTTCAAATTTTGGGTATTTTTTTTTGTGTTTGGTAATTATTTTGATTATTCTGTGCTTGTTACAGTGACATTTTTGGTTAATAATAATAATTTTTAAAACGACGGCAGATTTTATTTTTTTCTATATTTTTTAAAGACACGTCGACATTTTCAACTTTTATACATTGAGATGTTTGGGATAAATGAATTACACGATGTTTTATTTGAAAGTTATTTTTTTTTAACGTAACACCCTGTAAAAATAAGTTTTTAACTTGTTTGAATGTGAAGTGCTGGAATTTTTAGAAACTTTAAATTATTAATTTCTTTAGAATCTCTAAACCTCTAGAATCATAGTCTTTAGAATTGCCGGAGCCGCTAGACATTAAAACTCTATTTCTTTGAATCTTTAGAGTCTTTAAAATCTCCAGAATATTAAAACCTCTAGAATCAGTAAAACCTCCAGAATCTCTAGAATGTTTAGAATCTCTATAATTGCAGGAACCGCTGGACTCTAGAGCTGCGAATTACTTTGAATCTTTAGAACATTTAAAATCTCCAGAAAAGATTTCAAACGTTCCAAATATTCCAGAAATTACAAAGATTCTAGTAATTCTAGAGATTGTAGAATATCAAGAGATTCTAAATATAGTACAAACTTTAGAGTCTAGCGATTCGAGCCATTCTAGAGATTCTAAATATTTTAGTTACTCTAAAGATTATAGAGATTTTGGAGATTTGGAGATTCTAGAGATTGTAAAAGTTTTAGAGTCTAGCTGTTTCAGTAGCTCTAGATATTCTGAAGATTCGAGAGATTGTAGAGATTCTTAAAATTTGAGAAATTCTAAAAATTCCAATAATTCTCGAGATTTTAGAGAATTTGGAGATTCTAAAGATTCTGAAGATTTTTAAGGTTCGAGAAATTCTAGAAATTTTAAACATTTTAGAGATTCTGGAAACGAGATCTCCAGAATCCTTAGCATTTCCAGAATTCCTAAAAATTTAGAAGCTCTAGAATTCTCAAAATCTTAAGAATCGCTACAACTGCTGAAACCGCTAGACTCTAAACTTTTGGAATTTTTGGAATGCTTAGAATCTCTAGAATCTTTAGAATCTCTAGAATTTTCGGAATTTCTAGTCTTTCTCAAATTCTTAGAATCTCTAGCATCTTTAAAAATTCCAGAACCTCTATATACTTAAACCTCTAGATCTTTAGAATCTTCATAATATCTAGAATCTTTAGAATTTGTGGATTTTCTTGAAACTTTAGAATTTTCAGAATCTTCAGCATCTGCAGAAATTCCAAGACCTCTATAATGTCTAAAACTTCTAGAATTTCAAGAATCTTTAGAACTTCTAAAATTGCTAGAACTGCTAGATAAGTCAGAATCTTTGAATTTTTTATAATTTTTAGAATCTTTAAAATCCTTAGAATCTATAATACATCTAAAATCTCTAGAATTTTTGGAATTTCTAGAATTTCTCGAATCCTCTGAATTTCTAATCTCTAGAATTGCTGGAACCAATAGGTTGTAAACCTTTGGATTTCTTGGAATTTGTAGAACTTTTGAAAATTTCTCGAATATTACTTTAGACTTTAGCGTTTGCAGCCATTCTAGAGATTCTAGAAATTCCAGAAATTCCAAAGATTATAGGATTCCCAGAGATTGTAGAGAATTCAGAGATTCCAGAGATTGTAAAAGTTTTAAAGTCTAACGGTTTCAGCAGTTCTAGAGATTGTGAAGATTCGAAAGATTTTAGAGATTTCAAAAATTTGAGAAACTCTAGAAATTTCAAAATTCTAGATTCTAAAAATTCTGGAGGTTTTAGAGATACTGGAGTAGTTAAAAATTCTAAAAATTCAAAAAAATCCGAACATTGCAGAGATTTGGATTTTTTAGAGATTCTAGTGGTTCTGGAGATTCTGGCGATTCGAGAAATTTTAGATATTTTAGAGATTATGGAAATGTTCAAGATTTTAAAGATTCAAGAGATTAGAACTTCTCTAGAGGTTCTGAAAATTGTGTAGGTGCTAAATATTCTAAAGATTCTAAAAACGAGAATCTCCAGAATCTTTAAGCATTTTCAGAATTCCTAAAAATTTAAAATCTCTAGAAGCTCTAGAATTCTCAGAATCTTAAGAATCATTGCTAGACTCTAAACTTTTGGAATTTTTGGAATGTTTAGAATCTTTAGAATTTTCGGAATTTCTAGACTTTCTCAAATTCTTAGAATTTTTAGCATCTCCAAAAATTCCAGAACCTCTATATACCTAAACCTCTAGATCTTTAGAATCTTCAGAAAATATAGAATATTTGAAACCTTTAGAATTTCTAGAATTTCTGGAATTTGTAGATTTTCTTGAAACTTAAAAATTTTCCAGGACCTCTATAATGTCTAAGGCTTCTAGAATTTCAAGAATCTTTAGAACTTCTAGAACTGCTAGATTCTGAAACTTTTTGAATCTTTGGATTTTTTATAATTTTTAGAATCTTTAAAAGCTTCAGAATCTATAAAACCTCTAACATCTCTAGAATTTTTGGAATTTCTAGAATTTCTCGAGTCCAATGAATTTCTAATCTCTAGAATTGCTAGAATTGAGAGGTTGTAAACCTTTGGATTTCTTGGAATTTGTAGAATTTTTGGAAATTTCTAGAATATTATTTTAGAGTCTAGCGTTTCTAACCATTCTAGAGATTCTAAAGTAAGTTTTAGTAAGTAAAATTCTAGGATTCCTAGAGATTGTAGGGATTTTAGAAATTCCAGAGATTGTAAAAGTTTTAAAGTCTAACGGTTTGAGCAGTTTTAGAAATTCTGAAGATTCGAAAGAGTCGAGAGATTTTAAAAATTTGAGAAACTCTAGAAATTTTGAAAATTCTATAGATTCTAAAGATTCTGGAGGTTTTAGAGATTCTCGCGATTCTGGAATAGTTAAAAATTCTAAAAATTCAAATAAATCCGAAAATTGCAGATTTGGATTTTTAGAGATTCTAGAGGTTCTGGAAATTCGAGAAATTCTAAATATTCTAGAAATTCTGGAAATGTTAAAGATTTTAAAGATTCTAGAGGTGATAAATATTCTAGATATTCTCAAAATTCTAGTGATACTGGAATAGTAGTTTCCAGAATATTTGGCGTCTGCAGAATCTCTAGAACCTCTCAAATTTAGAATCTCTAGACCGCTAGAATCTAAAACTTTGGAATTTTTGGAGCGTTTAGATTCTCTAGAATCCTTAGAATCTCCCGACTCTCAAGAATCTCTAAAACCTGTGATTTCCTAGAATCTTTAGAATTTCTAGAATTTTAGGAATTTTTAGTATTTCTCAAATTGTTAGACTCGTTAGAATCTTTAGCATCTCCAGAAATTCCAGGACTTCTTAATGTCTAAACTTCTACAGTCTTTAGAATCACCGGAATATCTAGAATCTCTTAAAACCTGGAGAATTTCTAGAATCTCTGGAATTTTTGGAAGTTGTAGATTTTCTTGAATCTTTAGAATTTTCAGAGTCTTCAGAATCTGCAGAAATTCCAGGACCTGTATATGTCTAGAACTTCTAGAATTTCAAGAATCTTTAGAACTTCTAAAATTACTAGAATTTCTAGATTCTGAAACTTTTCGAATCATTGGATTTTTTATAATTCTAGAATTTCTCGAATCCTATGAATCTCTAGAATTGCTAAAACCCATTGACTGTAAACCTTTGGATTTCTTGGAATTTGTAGAATTTTTGTAAATTTCTCGAATATTACTTTAGAGTCTAGCGTTTTCAGTCATTCTAGAGATTCTAGAAATTCCAGAGATTCCAAAGATTCTAGGATTCCTAGAGAATGTAGAGAATTTAGAGCTAACGGTTTCAGCAGTTCTAGAGATTGTGAAGATTCGAAAGATTCTAGAGATTTTAAAAATTTAAGAAACTCTAGAAATTTCAAAAATTCTATAGATTCTAAAGATTCTGGACGTTTTAGAGATTTTGGAGTAGTTAAAAATTCTAAAAATTCAAAAAAATCCGAAAATTGCAGAGAATTGAATTTTTTTAGAGATTCTAGAGGTTCTGGAGATTCTAGAAATTCTAAATACTCTAGAGATTCTAGAAATGTTAAAGATTTTAGAGATTCTAGAAGTTAGAAATTTTCTAAAGGTTCTGAAGATTCTGCAGGTGCTAAATATTCTAGAAATTCTAGTGATTCTGGAATAGTAGTTTCTAGAAACTTTAGAATTTCCAGAATTTTTAGCATCTCCAGAATTCCTAAAAATTTAGAATCTCCAGAACCTTTATAATCCTCAGTATCTTAAGAATCTCCACAACTGCTAGAACCGCTAGACTATAAACTTTTGGGATTTTTGAAATGTTTAGAATCCCCGGACTCTCAAGAATTTCTAAAACCTCTATATTTCCTAGAATCTTTAGAATCTCTAGAATTTTTGGAATTTTTAGAGATTCTCAAATTCTTTCTTTAGCATCTCCAGAAATTCCAGGACTTCTATAATGTCTAAACTTCTAAAGTCTTTAGAATCGCCAAAAAATCTAGAGTATCTAAAACCTCTAGAATGTCTAGAATCTCTGGAATTTTTGGAATTTGTAGAATTTCAAAAATCTTTAGAACTTCTAAAATTACGAGAACTGCTAGATTCTGAAACTTTTCGAATCTTTGGATTTTTTATAATTTTTAGAATCTGTCTAACCTGCAGAATCTCTAGAATTTTTGCAATTTCTAGAATTTCTCGAATTCTATGAATCTCTAATCTCTATAATCTCTACATTATTTAGAATCTCCAGAATCTCAAAAGATTTCAAATGTTCCAAATATTTCAAATATTGTTGAAATTGGTTTAAAAATTCTAAAGAAACCAGAGATTCAAAGATTCTAGTAATTCTAGAGATTGTAGAGAATCTAGAGGCACGAAACATGGTACAAGTTTGAGAGTCTAGCAGTTCTATAGATTCTAGAGATTCTGAACATTCTAGTAATTCTAGAGATTGTAGAGAATTTAGAGATTCCAGAGATTTTAAAATTTTAGAATCCAAGGGTTTCAGCAGTTCTAGAAATCATAAAAAATTGAGAAACTCTAGAAATTCCCAATATTCTAGATATTGTAAAAATTTCATAAGTTTTAGAGTTTCTCGAGATTCTGAAGATTCTGGAGTAGTTAAAGATTCTAGAAATTCAAAATAATCCGAAAATTGCAGAGATTTGGATTTTTGTGGACATTCTGGAAGTTCTGGAGATTCTTAAAGTTCGAGAAATTGTAGATATTCTGGAAATGTTAAAGATTTTAAAAATTCTAGAAATTCTGTATAGGTTTTTAAGATTCTGCAGGTGCTAAATATTCTAAAAATTCTAGAATCGAGAAATTCTAAATATTCGAAAAATTCTAGTGATTCTGGAATAGTAGTTTCTAGAAACTTTAGAATTTCCAGAATCTTTAGCATCTCCAGAATTCCTAAAAATTTAGAATCTCCAGAACTTTTAGAATTCTCAGTATCTTAAGAATCTCTACAACTGCTAGAACCGCTAGACTCTAAACTTTTGGGATTTTTGGAATGTTTAGAATCTCCTGACTCAAGAATTTCCAAAACCTCTATATTTCCTAGAATCTTTACAATCTCTAGAATTTTTGGAATTTCTAGAAATTCTCAAATTCTTTCTTTAGCATCTCCAGAAATTCGACGACTTCTATAATGTCTAAACTTCTAAAGTCTTTAGAATCGGCGGAAAATCTAGAATATCTAAAACCTCTAGAATTTCTACAATCTCTGGAACTTTTGGAATTTGTAGAATTTCAAAAATATTTAGAACTACTAAAACTACTAGAACTGCTAGTTATAATTTTTAGAATCTATCTAATCTGCAGAATCTCTAGAATTTTTGCAATTTCTAGAATTTCTCGAATTCTTTGAATCTCTAATCTCTAGAATCTCTACATTATTTAGAATCTCCAGAATCTCAAAAGATTTCAAATGATCCAAATATTTTAATTATTTGCTGAAATTGGTTTAAAGATTCTAAAGAATCCAGAGATTCAAAGATTTTAGTAATTCTAGAGATTGTAGAAAATCTAGAGGCACGAAACATGGTACATGTTTGAGAGTCTAGCAGTTCCATAGATTCTAGAGATTCTGAACAATCTAGTAATTCTAGAGATTATAGAGAATTTAGAGATTCCAGAGATTTTAAAATATTAGAATCCACGGGTTTCAGCACTTCTAGAAATCATAAAAATTTGAGAAACTCTAGAAAATTCCATAGGTTTTAAAGTTTCTCGAGATTCTGAAGATTCTGGAGTAGTTAAAGATTTTAAAAATTAAAAAAAATCCGAAAATTGCAGAGATTTGGATTTTTGTGGAGATTCTAGAGGTTCTGGAAAATTCTTAAGGTTCGAGAAATTCTAGAAATTCTGGATATGTTAAAGATTTTAAAGTTTCTAGAGATTCTAGAGATTAGAAATTCTCTAGAGGTTTTTACGATTCTGGATGTGCTAAATATTCTAGATATCCTCAAAATTCTAGTGATTCTGGAGATTCTGGAATAGTGGTTTCCAGAAACTTTGGCGTCTCCAGAACCTCTAGAACTTCTAAAATTTAGAATTTCTAGACCGCTAGATTCTAAAACTTTTGGAATTTTTAGAATTTCTAGAATTTTTCGAATCTTCAGTATCTTTAGAATCCTGCAGTCTTCAAAATCTCCAGAATAACTGAAATTGCTACACTCTAAAATTTCTATCACATGTGGAATCTCTAAATTATCTACAGTCTCTAGAATTACTGCAAACTTTGGAATCTCTAGAATTTTTTGAATCCCTAAAATCTTTCGAATCCTTAGACTCTTAGAGTCTTTGGGGTTTTAGAATCTTTAGAATAACTGGAATCTTCAAAATCTTTGGAATTTCTAAAACCTCCAATTCTCTAGTAACTTTAGATTTTATAGATTCTTCAGAATCTCTAAAATTTTTAGAATTTCCAGAATCTTTAAAATCTTTGGAATTTCTAGAATCTTTAAAATTTCGAGAATGGCTAGAATCACTAAACTCTAAAACTTGTACACTATCTAAAATCTCTAAATACTCTACAACTACTAGAATTATTAGAACCTTGGAATCTCTGGAAATTCTGAAACTATGAAATCGCTAGAATTTTTAGAACCTCTGGAATCTTCAGAATCTCTATAATCTTAAAACATTTAGAATTGTTAAAATCTCTAGATTCTAAATTTTCTACAATCTCCAGAATCTTTAAATTAAATTTAAATTATGTAATCTTTAAAACATTTAGAATTTTTAGAATCTCCAGAATGTCCAGAATGTCTAGAATCTCTTAGAAACCTTTAGAATCTTGAAAGTGTCTAAAATATTTTGTTTTTGAATCTCTAGAATCTCTAGAATTGCTAACGCCGTTAAACTTTAAAACTACAATTTCTGGAATTATTAGATCTTTAGAACGTCTGAAATCTTCAGAATTTCTATGTTCTTTTGGATTTCTAAAATGATTGGAATCGTTGGATTCTAAAATTTGTAAAATCTCTATAATCTTTAAATTCTCTATAATTTCTAGAATTACTAGAATCTTTGGAATCTCTGGATCTCTAGATTCTATAGAATCTATGAAATTTTCGGAGTCTTTTATTTTTCCGAAACTAAATTTGAAGGCTATAAAAACAAAAGATGTATGTATATGACTGAGTTATAAATTACTAAGGACACATTATTAGGCAAAGTAAGACTAAGAACTAAGAAAGTAAGAGAAAGAGAAAAGTAAGAAACGAGTTTAAAATTTTCTGTGAGGTTTATAAAATATGTTAATAAATTATTTATATAAATTTGATCTCACTGTGGCTTATGAAAATACATTATATGGTAGAAATTAATTAGTTCTTAATTATATATTAAAGACCAATGAAATTTACGAAAAAGATATTAAAATTTTTTTCTTTAAAGTATTAAAATTTCTATGAAATTTAGTAACCCCCACAATCGAAAGAAAGCCCCGAAAGCCAGAAATACCCCATTATGCTTGAAAAACAGAAAGTGAACCCATGACACATCTACAACTAATTTAACCTCGCAAGCTCCTCGCCGAAGACACCCTGGTGTTGCCATACATGTCAGTAACATAAACCGTGTCATCATTGTAGGCCCTAGCCCTCGCCCTGTACCCATAATCATCGTAACTCGAGCTCCTATATCTGTACTCCGGTTTCGAGTAGTAGTCGTACCACTGCCGAAACGGGTTGTTGGAGTACGTGTAACTGTTCGTGTGCGGACTTCTGTACTCATAGTAATACGAAGGCTCACCTGACGCCACCGCCAGCGCCGCCCCCAGAACCAAAAACGCGAAAGTCGTCGAAAGCCCCATCGTTAACTGTGACACACACTTCTACTAACACCGTCACATGCGTTCCACAACTAAGTTGCGTTTACTACGCTCGGGAACTGCGAGCTGGCCTTTGTAGGTCTTGGTCTTGGGGTAACGCTGGAGGTAGGTGTTGGGTTATTACATCACATTGTCAACATGTAAATGGTTTCTGCTTATTTGGTGAGCCGGTCTGGGAGAACGAGAAGCGGATGTTGGGACTCATTTTGTGGAACAGAAACGTGGGTTTTTATTTTGATGAATTTTAATTTTCGGGATGATGGGTTCTGGGAACTTCTTGAGTTCGGCGATGACGAGGAGATCTTGGACTTGGTGTTATTTGTGTGACTATGTTTGGATTAGGTGGCCTTGTGTGTCAAGGCAAAGCTAATGACTAATGAGTAATAAAATACCGATTCAAATTTTCAATGACTAATGGGTCTGGAATTTTTTGACAATTTTCTTTATTTTTATTTCTGTGGTACCCGCTCCGTCTGTTTGTCTCTCGTCTGTATCAATTTTTGTTCTGCAATTTTGCAATTTAAATTTGAAATTTCTCGCTTATTCAGTTTTTCAAATCTTCACTCTTTTTATGGGACTTTCTGACTTTACAATTTTTCGGTTTTACAATTTTGCACTTTTTGGATTTTTAAATTCTCAATTTTAAAATTTTCCAGTTTTCGTTTTATATACACAAAAATCTGGGAATTCCAGGGTATCTACAAAATTCAGAAAACCCAAAACTTCCAAGATTCTACATATTTTAGAGTTTCTAGAAGTTCTAAAGCTGTTAAAGATCCCAAGACCTGCAAAATCAGTCAAGATTTAATAATAAACAAACTACGAAAAGGACGAAAAATGACGAAAACAACGAAAAGGACGAATAAGGATGAAAAAGGACGAAAAAACGAAAAAGACGAATAAGGAAGTAAAAGGACGAAGAAAAAACGGAAAGGACGAAAAAGGACGAAAGGACGAAAAACAGCGAAGAGGATGAAAAATTGTGAAAAGGACGGCAAAGGACGAAAAAGACGAAAAGGACGACAAAAGACCGAAAATGACGGAAAAAGACGGGAAGGACGAAAAAGAACGAAACGGGCGAATAAGGACGAAAAAGGACGAAAAAGGACCAAGAAGGACGAAAAAGACGAAAACGGACGAGAAGACGACAAAGGACGAAAAAAGACCAAGAATCACGACAAAAAACGAAAAAGGAAAATAAGGGCGAAAAAGGACGAAAAAGGACGAAATAGGACGGAGAGGACGAAAAAGGACAAAATAGGACAAAAAAGACGAAAAACGACCAAGAAGAACGAAAAAGGGCAACAAAGGACGAAAAGGATGAATTGGACGAAAAAGAACCAAGAAGGACGAAAAAAACGAAAAAGGACTAAGAAGAACGAAAAAGGACAACAAAAGACGAAAAGGACGAAAAAGGACGAATTGGACGAGAAGGACGAAAAATGACGAAAACAACGAAAAGGACGAAAAAAACGAAAACGACGAATAAGGATGCAAAAGGACGAAGAAAAAACGGAAAGAACAAAAAAAATGAAAAATTGCGAAAAGAACGAAAAGGACTAAAGAGAGAGAAAAATGAAAAATTGCGAAAAGGACGGAAAAGGACGAAAAAGGACAAGAAGGACGACAAAAGACCGAAAAGACGAAAAAGGGCCAAGAAGGACGAAAAACGACGAAAAAAGACGGAGAGGACGAAAAAGAACGAAACGGACGAAATAATAATAACAGGTTTCCCTAATTACACGACAAAATATAAAGAATACATAATAATAAATATACAAATAACTAATCGACCACAATACAAACAGGACTAACCCAAAGAAAAGAAAAAGGACGAAACAGGACGAAAAAGGACGAAACAGGACGAAAAAGATGAAAAAGGACGAAAACGGACGAAACAGGACAACAAAGGACGAAAAAAGACCAAGAAGAACGAAAAAGGACAACCAAGGACGAAAAGGACGAAAAAGGACGAATTGGACGAAAAGAACGAAAAAGGACCAAGAAGGACAAGGACCAAAAAGGACGAAAACGACGAAAAAGGACCAAGAAGAACGAAAAAGGACAACAAAGGACGAAAAAGGACGAATTGGACCAAAAAAAAACGAAAAAGGACTAAAAGAACGAAAAGGACGAAAAAGGACGAAAAGGACGAAAAAGCACGAATAGCACGAGGACAACAAAGGCCGAACAGGACGAAAAACGACGAAAAAAACGAATAAGGACGAAAAAGAACGAAATAGGACGAAAAAGAACGAAATAGGACTAAAAGAACGATAAGGACGAAAAAGGACGAAAAGGACGAAAACGACGAAAAAAAAAACAACAAGGACGAAATAGGACAAAAAAGGACGAAAACGACGAAAAAGGATGGAAAGGACGAAAAACGACGAAAAAAGACGAAGAGGACGAAAAAGGACGAAGAAGAACGAAAAAGGACAACAAAGGACGAAAAGGACGAATTGGACGAAAAGAACGAAAAGGACGAAAAAGGACGAAAAGGACGAAAACGAGAAAAAAAAACAAGGACGAAATAGGACGAAAAAGGACGAAAAGGGCGAAAAGTATGGAAAAGGACGAAAAGAACGAAAAAGGATCAAGAACGACGAAAAAGGTCGAAATAAGACGAAAACGGCGAAAAAGGACAACAAACGACGAAAAGGACGAATTGGACGAAAAGAACGAAAAAGGACCAAGAAGGACGAAAAAGGACAAAATAGGACGAAAAAGGACCAAGAAGGACGAAAAAGGACCAAGAAGGACGAAAAAGGACCAAGAAGGACGACAAGGACCAAAAAGGTCGAAAACGACGAAAAAGGACCAACATGGACGAAATAGGACCAAGAAGAACGAAAAATGACAACAAAGGACGAAAAAGGACGAATTGGACGAAAAAGGACGAAAAAAACGAGTAAGGACGAAAAAGATCGAAATAGGACTAAAAGAACGAGTGAGGACGAAAACGACGAAAAAAAAACAAGGACGAAATAGGACGAAAAGGGCGAAAAGGACGAAAAAGACGAAAAGGTCGAAAAGCACGAAAAAGGACGAAAAAAGACCAATAACGACGAAAAAGGACGAAAAAGGTCGAAAACGACGAAAAAGGATGGAAAGGACGAAAAACGACGAAAAAGACGAATAGGACGAAAAAGGACGAAGAAGAACGACAAAGGACAACAAAGGACGAAAAGGACGAATTGGACGAAAAGAACGAAAAAGGACCAAGGACGAAAAAGGACAAAATAGGACGAAAAAGGACCAAGAAGGACGAAAAAGGACCAAGAAGGACGAAAAAGGACCAAGAAGAACGACAAGGACCAAAAAGGACCAACGTGGACGAAATAGGACGAATTGGACGAAAAAGGACGAAAAGGACGAGGACAACAAAGGCCGAAAAGGACAAAAAAGGACGGAGAAAACTAATAAGGACGAAAAAGAACGAAATAGGACTAAAAGAAAGATAAGGACGAAAAAGGACGAAAACGACGAAAACGACGAAAAAAAAACAACAAAGACGAAATAGGACAAAAAAGGACGAAAAGGGTGAAAAGGACGAATAAGGACGAAAAAAACGAAAAGGACGAAAAAAGACCAAGAACGACGAAAAAGTACAAGAAAGGTCGAAATAAGACGAAAAGGACGAAAAAGGACAAAAACGACGACAAAGGAAGGAAAGGACAAAAAACGACAAAAAAGGACGAAGAAGAACGAAAAAGGACATCAAAGGACGAAAAGGACGAATTGGACGAAAAGGACGAAGAAAAGGAAAAAGCACCAAGAAGGACGAAGAAGGACGAAAAAGGACGAAGGACGAAAAAAGACGAAAAAGAACGAAAATACGAAAAGGACGAAATAGGACCAACAAGGACGAAAAAGGACGAAAAGGTCGAATTGGACGAAAAGAACGAAAAAGGACCAAGAAGGACGAAAAAGGACAAAATAGGACGAAAAAGTACCAAGAAGGACGAAACAAAACGCATAAGGATAAAAAAGGACGAAGAGGACGAAAAAGAACCAAGAAGGACGAAATAGGACGAGAAGGACGAAGAATGACGAAAAGGACTGAAAAGAACCAAGAAGGACGAAAAAGGACGAAAAAGAACGAAAAAGACGAAATGGGTGAAAAGGACGAATAAGGACGAAAAGGACGAAAAGTACGGAAAAGGACGAAAAGGACGAAAAAAGACCAAGAAGGACGAAAAAGGACGAGGAAGGTCGAAATAGGACGAAAAGGACGGAAAAGGATCAAGAAGAACGAAAAAGGACAACAAAGGACGAAAAGGACGAATTGGACGAAAAGGACGAAAAAGGACGAAAAGAACGAAAAGGACGAAAAAGGACGAATTGGACGAAAACGACGAAAAAGGACGAATAAGAACCAAGAAGGACGAAAAAGGACAACAAACGCAGAAAAGGACGAATTGGACGAAAAAGGACGAAATAGGACGAAAAATGACGAAAGTGGACGAAAAATGACGAAATCAACGAATAGGACGAAAAAAACGAAAAAGACGAATAAGGATGAAAAACGACGAAGAAAAAACGGAAAGAATGAAAAAAATGAAAAATTGCGAGAAGAACGAAAAGGGCTAAAAAGAGAGAGAAGAATGAAACATTGCGAAAAGGACGAACAGGAAAGAAAAACGAAATGGATGAAAAATTGTGAAAAGGACGGAAAAGGACGAAAAAGGGCAAAAAGGACGACAAAAGACCGGAAAGGACGAAAAAGGACCAAGAAGGACGAAAAACGACGAAGAAAGACGGAAAGGATGAAAAAGAACGAAACGGACGAAAAAGAACGAAACGGATGAAAAGGACGAAAAAGGACGAAAAAGGACGCTAAAGGACGAAAAAGAACAAAAAGGACGAAAACGACGAAAAAGGACAAAAAGGATGAAAACGACGAAAAAGGACCAACAAGGACGAAATAGGACGAAAAGGACGGAAAAGGACGAAATGGACGAAAAGGACGAAAAATGACGAAAAGGCTGAAAAAAGACGAAAAGGAAAAAAAGGACGAAAAGAACTAGAGATTCTAAACATTTTAAAGAATCTAGATCCTAGAAATTCTAGAAAACCCAGGGGTTTTAGAAATTCTTGAGATTTTAGAGGCTTCATAGATTCTAGAGATTCAGGAGATCTTAGAGATTCCGTATATTCTAAAGATTTCAAGAGATCCAAAATTTCAGTCTTGCGATTATTAAGTAATGATTCTAAAAATTGTAGAATTTCTAGAGGTTTTGGAGATTCTACAGATGTTAGGTTTCTAGAGATCCTGAGGTCTAAACATGGTGTATCAAAGATTTTTTCTCCACTTTTTCTAAACATTTAAAAAATTCTAAGAGGTTTCAGAGACATCAAAGACTCCGAAAATTTCAGAGTCCAAAGAAATCGGGGTTTCCATAATTTTTTGGAATCTGAGAATTAACTAAACTTACAAAAATTTCAAAGATTCAGAAATTGGTTTTTCGAAAATTCCAAAGATTGCAAATTAGAAAAATTACAGGGACTCCTGAAATTAGCTGTTCGAAAATTCCAAAGATTCCAAAAATTGTACAGTACTTAAAGATTCTAGAAATTACACAAATTTTAGAGTCTAGCCATTTTAGAGATTCCATAGGATCTAGAGATTCGATTCCAAAGGTTCTAGAAAAAGAAATGTTAAATTGAAAAAATGAAAACCGAAAAATTGAAAATATAAAGAATCGAAAAACTGGAAAATTAAATTGGAAACAATTAGAAATTTTAAATCGAAACGAAAAACTGAGAAAATCAAAATTGAAAAAACAAAAATTTACAAAATAGAATACATAACTGAAAAAACAAAGAAAATTTAAACCAAAAAACTTCTCCAAATCAAGTAATAAAAACCCACCCACATCCCTCTGACATCCGTCACTTTCACCAAACTGTCACTTAAATGGACGTAAAATTGCAACTCCTCACGTTCTTCGAAAACAACCAGCGCAAACTCGCGTGGTTCGTCGGCGGCTGCCTCTTCGTCTACCTCACCCACAAGTTCTTCTACAAGTCCCCGCAGAAGAAGCCCGAACTGACCGTCGAGCAAATCCGCAAGATCATCGAGGACCTGCCCTACGAGTCCCGGAACTCCGACAACCTCACCCTCAAGGACCTCCTCGACGAACTCAAGGACCTCAACGACGACGAGGAATGGAAGAAGCTCATAACCAGCGTCCAGAACTTCTACAATGAAGAGTGTCGCGAGGTCGCAGGATAAAAGTCAACCAAATTACAACACAACGCAAAATAGTGTATTTCTATATGGTAATTGGTAACAATAAAAACGTAACTTGAACGTTGTTTTGGGGTTAGGCGGCCTTGAGGTGCTCCTGGTCCACGCTGTGGTAGATGAGGCCTTCGTTGATCAAGAACTCCACGGCTTCGCTAAAGAAATCCATCTAGTATATAGTACTCCTATATAGTTATAGTAGTGAGGTACTCACGTGACCTCGTGGCTCTGGTAGGCCGGAAACTGCCTCAGGATGCTCCTCCTGGTGGTACCAACATCGGAATAGTCGCTTTTAATAATATCGAAAACCAGCTTCTGGAGGTCGGTAAACTGAGGGGTGGTTGAACCGCCCTCACACATGTCTTCAAGGGCTACTAAAGAGTCTGCCAAAGCAGCCCCAGAGGTATTAGCCGAAGCCAACTACAAACAAATTAAACGTCGTCAAACTCCATAAACTGCAAATTTGAGCCGTATGTAACTAATAAATTAGGTACCTGTTTGTTCCGTTCAACTTGAGCGCTCGCTATAAAGTAATGAAACTGAAGTAAGTGGTGAGTGATGACGTTGCAGTCACTAACTGGACACACTTTCATTATTAGGACGATTTTGCTTCCGTTGTCCTCACGTACGGAGCCGAATACTTTAGCGTAGTGGTTTTCGGTGATCCCTGATACCTTGGCTGCCACTTCCTAGTTTATAAAAAATAAAGCGCCTTTATTGAGGTATTTTTTTAGGGTCAAACTTGTACATACAGATTCTGTTTCTGAGATAATGATGGCTTTAATGCTGCCAGTGTGGTCTTGTATTTCAAAGGTGGCTTCACAATGTCGTATTTCGAGCTTGCGGATTATACCCACAAGACACACCTAGGGATGTTTAGGGTTAATTTGGTACGTTCGAGGGCAAAATTAATGTCCGCTCAGTATTACAGTCGGTATTTATGAATTTTTTTTACATATTTAGGGGTATTTGAATTGATTAAAACATCAACTATAAGTCGAGAAAGAAAAATACACGTAAGTTATTTTTTTCGGATATTCCAGGACCCTAGAGATTCCAGAAAATTCTACAGATTCTGAAGATTCCCAGTATTTCAAAAAGTGAAAATTCCAAAAAATTTGAGGAGTGCAGACTCCAAAGATTCTAAAGATTATAAAGACTCCACAGGTTCCAGAGATTCCGGAAATTTCGACAATTCTGAAGATTCTAGATATCCAGAATATTCCAGAGATTTCAAAGATTCCAAGGTTCCATAGATTCCAGAAATTCTAAAGATTTGAAATATTAGAGAGGTTCTGAAGATTCCAAAGATTATAACAATTCTGAACATTCTAGCGATTCCAAAGATTCTGAAAATTGTGAATATTTCGAATGGTGAAAATTCCAAAAATTTGAAGTCGTGAAAGATTCCGTAAATTGTAAGGATTATAAAGATTCCAGAAATTCCAGAAAATTCAAATATTTCTGGACTCTAGAGATTCCAGAGGTTCTAAAAACTCTACAGATTCTAAAAATTCGAAATATTTCAAAGAGTGAAGATTCCAAAAAAACTGAAAACCTTGAATATTCCGAAGATTATAAAGATTTCAAAGGTTCTAGAGATTTCAAAAATTCCGGATATTCCGAGACTTTAGAAATACCAAAAATTTCGAAAATTCCAAAAAAATTTGATGAAAACTGAAATTCCAAAAAGTTGAGAGAATATAAAAATTCCAAAGTTTCCAGAAATTCTAAAGATTTAAAATATTCTAAAGATTCTGACATTTCTGAAGATTCTGAAGATCCCAACAATTCTGAAAAGTCTGAGTATTTCAAAAGCTGAAAATTCCAAAAAAATCTAAAGATTCCGAAGATGCTACAAACTATAAAATTCAAAACGTTACAGAGGTTCCAGAAGTTCTAAAGATTCTGAAGATTTTAAAGATCTCAATACTTCTGAAAGTTCTATTTTGAAAGTTGAAAATTCCCAAAAATTTCAAAGATTCTAAGGATTATAAAGATTCCAAAGATTCCATAAATTCGGAATATTCCAAACTCCATAGATTCCAGAAATTCTAAAGACTTAAAATATTAGGAAGGTTTTCAAGACTGAAGATTCCGTAGGTTATAAAGATTCCAAAAGTTCCAGAGATTCCAGAAAATTAAAAAATTCCGGGTGTTTCGGAACTCTAAGAGATTCCATAATTCCCAATAATTCCGGATCTTCCGAGACTCTAGAAATTCCAGAGATTCTAAAGATTCCAACGATTTTGAATACCCTTAAGATTCCAAAAATTCTCAAGGTTCCAAAGATTCTGAGTAATTCAAAGCCTGAAGATTGCAAATCCAAGTAGTTCCAAAGAATTTGAAAACTTTGAACGTTCCGAAGATTCTAAACATTATAAATATTCTTAAGGTTTCAAAGATTCCAAACTTCAGAGATTCCAGAAATCACATAAATTCTGAATATTCCGAGACTTTAGACACATATTCCAAAGATATTGTGTAGATTCTGAGAATTGTGAAGACTGAAGATTGCAGAAAATCTAAAAACTGAAAACTTTGTACAAATATAAAGATTCCAAAGATTTCAGAGAATCCAAAGGTTCAAGAAAATCTAAAAGTTCCAAAAATTCCGGAGAGTCCAAGAATCTAGAGGTTCCAGAGATTTTAAATATTCAAAAGAGTCTGAAGATTCTGAGGATTATAAAGATTCGAAAGATTCTAAAAATCTGAAGATTTTGAAGATCCCGTAGATTGTAAAGATTACAAAATTCCAAAGGTCCTAGAAATTCCAGAAAATTCAAAAATTCAGGATGTTCCGGAACTATAGAGGTTCCAGAAATTTCAAGAATTCGGCATCTTTTGGGATTCTAAAATTTCTGAAGATTATGAAGATTACAAAGATTCGGAATATTTTGAAATTTCCGAAGATTCTTTAGAACTTTTAGGTTTTGAATATTCTGAGTAATTCGAAGGCTGAAGAATCCCAAATTATGAATACTTTAAAATTCCAAAAATTATAAAGACATCAAAGATTCGAGAGATTCTGATGTTTCTGGAAATTGTAAAGATCGGATATTCCGAGATTAAAGGGATTCTAAAAATCCTAAGGGTTCTAAAGATCCCAAGAATTCTGAACATTGTAAAGAATCTGATGATTCCAAAAAAATTGAAATCTTTGAAGATTCCGAAGATTCTAGACATCATAAAGTTTCTTAAGATTTCACTGATTCCAAACGTTTCAGAAATTCCAGAAATCATAAGATTCCGAATATTCCATGACTTTAGATAGAAATTTTAAAGATATTCTGAAGATTCTGAAGACCTTGAATATTTCGAAGACTGAAAATTCCAAGTATTTTCAAAACTAAAGAGTACAAAAAATCTTAAGATTTTTAAAGATTCCAAAGGTTCTAAAGATTCCAGAAATTCCAATAATGCCGGATCTTCCAAGACTCTAGAAATTCCCGAGATTCTAAAGATTCTGAAGATTCCGAAGGTTCGAAAGGTTCCGAAGATTTTGAGTAATTCGGAGGCTGAAGATTCCAAAAATATGAATACTTCAAAATTCCAAAGATTCTGAGGGTTCTGGAAATTCTAAAGATTCTAAAAATTCTGAAAAATCTGCGGATTGTAAAACTTCCAAAGATTCTGAAAATTATAAAGATCCCAAAAGTTCAGAATTATTCCGAGACTTTAGAGATTCTAGAAATCTCAAGATTCCGGATATTCTGAGATTCCAGGAATTCTAAAAATTCTAAATGTTCTAAAGATTCCAAACATACGATTCTAAAGGGTCTGAAGGTTCTGAGGTTTTTCAAGATTCCGAAAATTCAAAACATTATAAAGATGCTTAAAATTTGAATATTCCGAGAATTTAGATACAGATTCCAAAAATATTCTGAATATTTCGAAGACTGAAGATTCCAGAAAAGCTGAAAACTGAAAACTTCGAACGAATGTAAAAATTCCTAAAATTTCAGATAATCCAAAAGTCCCAGAGATTCTAAAAATTCCGGAGAGACCAAGATTCTAGAGATTCCAGAGATTCTAAAGATTCTGAGGATTTTGAGGATTATAAAGATTCCAAAGATTTTAAAGACTCCAGAAATTTCAAAATACATATTCTGAAATTTTGGGATATGTTGAAAATTTCAAAACATCTGAAGACTGAAGATTCCGAAAATTCTACAGATTATAAAATTCCAAACGTTACAGAGAATCCGGAAATTCTAAAGATTCGAAAGACTCTGAAGATTTTAAAGATCTCAATTATTCTGAAAATTCTATTTTGAAGGTAGAAAATTCCACAAAAATCTGAGGATTCCGAAAATTCCAAAGATTATAAAGATCTATAAATTCCAGATTCCATAAAATTAAAAAATTTCGAATGTTTCGGGACTCACTCTAGAGATTCCAGAAATTCTAATAATTCCGGATCTTCCGTAACTTTAGAAATTCCCGAGATTGTAAACACTCCAAAAACTCTGACTATTGTGAAGATTCAGAAAATTCTGAGTAATTTGAAGGCTGAAGATTCCAAAGATTCTGAAGATTATAAAGATATCAAAGGTTCCAGACATTCGTATGATTCTGAAGGGTCTGGACATTCTAAAGGTTTTAAAAATTCTGTAGATTCTAAAATTTCGAAGGATTCTAAAGAATATAAAGATCCTAAAAATTCCAGAGTTGTTCCGAGATTTTAGAAATTGAAGAAATCCCAAGGATTCTAAAAATTCTAAATGTAAGATTTTAAAGATCTCCATAATTCTGAAAATTCTATTTCGAAGGTCGAAAATTCCAAAAAATCTGAGGACTGAAGATTCCGAGGATTCTAAAGATTATAAAAATTCACAAGTTACAGAGATTCCAGAAATTTTAAAAATTCTGGATATTTCCAGACTCTAGATATACTAGCAATTCCAAAGATTTCGAATATTTTGGATTCCAGAGATTCTGAATATTTCGAAAAGTGAAGATTCCAAAAATCCCTAAGATACCAGAAATTCTAAAGATTCGAAATATTTGGGAAGTTCTGAAGATTCTAAAAATTCTGCACATTCTAAAAATTCCAGGGATTCTGAAGATTATAAAGATCCCGAAAGTTCCAGAGTATTGCGAGACTCCAGGGAATTTCAAACTTCGGAAGGTTCTAAAGATTACAAGGATCCTGAAGATTCTAAAGAGTCTGTATATTCTGAGGTTTCTGAAGATTCCAAAAAAATTGAAAACTTTGAAGACTCCGAAGATTGAGTTTGGTATCTTTGACATCAAACAGATGTCAAAGCAAACGTTCCAGAGATTCCAGAAATCACAAAGATTCCTATTCCAAAACTTTAGACAGAGATTCCAACGATAATCTGAAGATTCTGAGAATTCTGAAGACTGAAGATTCCAGAAAATCTGAAGACTGAAGATTCCGGAAAATCTGAAAACTGAAAACTTCGAACGACTATAAATATTCCAAAGATTTGAGAGAATCCGAAGGTCCCAGAGATTCTATAAAAAATCCAGAGAGTCCAAAATTTCAAAGATTTAAAAATCCAGAAATTTCAAAATATTCTTAACATTTCGAAGACTGGAAAGTCCAAAAATCTTAAGACTTTGAAGACTCTGAGGATTGTAAAGATTCCAAAGATTAAAAAATTCGAGAAATTTCAAAATATTCTGATTATTTGGAAGGTTGAAAATTCCAAAAAATCTGAAGGCTGAAGGTTCCGTAGATTACAAAAATTATAAAAATTTCGGATGTTCCAGGACCATAGAAATTCCAAAAATCTCCGAGACTAGAAATTCTAAAGATTCTGGAGATTCTGGGAATTCCAAAGATTCTGAATGTTCTGAAAATTCCGAAAATTCTAGAGGTTTCAAAGAGTATAAAGAT